CAAGGCAAGTGCTATACCGCTGAGCCCCCAGCGCCCCCAGCCCTTTTTAATATTTTCTTTGGAGATGGGTATCACTGAGATACTGATGCTGGCTTTGAACTCATGATCCTCCTCCCTCAGCTTCCTGAGCTGCTAGGATTATAGGCATGCACTACCATACTGGTCCCTGCCTCAGCCTCTTGATACTGAGATGATAGGTCACCATGTCCAGTGAGGAACTAGGTTTTCTGATGTAGCCTTTGTGACTCTGCTAAATTTTTCTTCAGTTCCTTGTTTTTTCTATTAGTTGATTTTTATATATAGTTTAGTCTTCAGTACTCCATAACCCTTTCCCTCCAAATCATGGATAGTCAGGGAAAGCAAGATTAGATCTTGGTGAAACCAGTGATACAGACTAAAAGGCAAGAGGATGATCAAAACAGAGGGTAAACAGAACACTTCTTTATTAAAATAATCTGGTATGGTTTTATTTGTCTGAGGAATAGGTTGCTCAGGCCTAGGGTGGTCAATTTTACCATTCCTTTAAAGTTTTTGAACTTTTACATGTGTACATTGGCTCTTCCTCTGATTGATTGTGGTGATAAAGAGAAGCCAAGTGTGATCATAGACTGACAATATTTGCTACCATTTGTCTATCCAATAACAGTGAAAAAGTGAGCCATCCACTTATTCTCTCACTTGTAGGAGCCCATTATATACTAACCAGTGGTATAAAATTTTTTTCTGATTAATTCACCAGGCAGGTAAGCAGCAAAGCTGAAATTACCATATGATTTAATTATTTTTTGAGAGACTGAAATGCCTTATGTCTTAAAACTCCAACTATTCATCACCTTATATTTAATTACATTAATCAGTTGCTGCCTTAAAAAATTCTTTTACATATTTCTCACTATGAATTTTGTAATAAGAATCCATGGATTGAAGCAAGAAGATGCTCACTTATTTTTCTTTTTTTTTTAAATTTTTTGGTTGTAGATAGATAACAATACTTTTACTTTATTTATTTATTTTTATGTGGTGCTGAGGATTGAACCTACTGCCTCAAGCCTACTAGGCAAGCTTAATTGATGTTTAGTCACAAGCAAATCACAGCCCTCCCTTGAGCTTTATCTGCTTCTTACTTTTTTTAAAAAAAATATTCTCTTAGTTGTCAGTGGACTTTATTTATTTATATGCACTGCCGAGAATTGAACCCAGTGCCTCACACATTCTAGGCAAATGCTCTACCACTGAGGCACAATCCCAGCCCTATCTGCTTCTTTATATGAGGGAAAATAATGTCTCCTTTGCCTACAAATGATCATGTAAGATGATTATTTGAATTGAAATTTTGTATAAACTATTGAGGATCATTTGCCTGTTGGTTGGTGGTTAAATCATAAGCAGGAAATCCATTACATTGAATTCTAAGGAACTTCAAATTATTTGCTATATAGAATAGTTGTATCATGTGTACATTAAGTTATGTTTAGAAAAAAGTGAAAGAGATAGAAATTCTTTTAAATGTTAAGAGCAGTTCTTTTTACAATTATACTTGTTGACCATGAGGTGAGGATCAGCATTTGCTTTTCCCTCACGCTGTGTCAGTCCCCTCAGTTCTCTTCAGTGATAACTTACCATTATACTACGTATAATTTTATATTTAAAGATAGGGTATATTTTTTTTGTGTAGAATAATCTGATTCCTAAATATAAGTATTCTTAATTTGGTGCTCAACTGAAGGAACATGACAAGAGAATTTCAACTGAGGGCCTTACTAAATTTCTATACTATATTATACTTTGTGAGTGATTTAGATTTTCTTTAAAATTTTTTTTAGTAGTCAATGAATTATTTATTTATTTATTTATTTATTTATTTATTTATTTATTTATTTATTTATTTATTTATTTATTTATTGTGCTAAAAATCTAACCCAGTGCCTCACAATGCTAGGCAAGCACTCTACTGAGCTACAATCCCAACCCTAGATTTTCAGTGATGATTTTGATTACATATTGCTTCACCTTCCTTATCTTTAGATCCTAATCTCTTAACTTTATTGGAATTTTGTTGCATTCTGTAATTGTCTTCAGTAAGTTCTTTGGCAACTAGTGTAAATATGTGTTTTTTGTTGTTGTTGTTGAAGAGGCTTAACCTCTTAGCATCAGTCTTTCTTAAAATAATTTTAAGATAAAAATAAAAACAAAACCCAAACTCCATGGCATAAAGAGTAGAGTCTGTGTGATCTTAAAACCCATTGAAGAAAAAAAATATTTAGTTTGCTGATTTTTTAAAATTTTATTCATTTTGGGAATTGGCAGTCATCATTTCATCATCTTCTTTCTTATGCAACCCTTTGTTTGTCCAGATGTTTTAAATAGTAATTATTTTGATATTAATTAATGAAAATGAAGATGTTCAAAGGGAACTATGTCAACTACTGCTTCAAATATTGTTTTTTTAAAAAATTCAAATTATGGTAACAGCGAGTTAAGGTAGTTTTTAAACTAAATTCTGAACATTTATGGTTAATCCATATATTATCACACCTTGGTCTAATCTTGGTCTCATCTGCAGAGTAGAAGCATGTAAAGGAGATGTTTTAAGGTAGTATTTCCAAAGTTGCTACGATTAGGTAAATATAACAAAATACAAGCCAATCAGTAGTAGGTTTAACAGAATCTTTCAGATCTTTTCATTTTTTTCTATGACCAATTTTTTTTTTCAGACTGGCTCTGCCTGTCCACCTGTACAGTGATCACTGTGACCATCTTTAAAATGAACAAAGTAGTAAATATTATTCTAGTAACTGAAAGTTATTATATAGTATCAAATATACTCTTGTTTGATATATGACATTTATTACTAAACAATTTAAACTATAGACTAATTGTCTCCAGAACTTAAATGTAGTGTATTTCTGTTTTTTCAGGTCTATGCTTGGGGCTGTGGGGCTTGTCTAGGTTGTGGTTCTTCAGAAGCTACTGCTTTGAGACCCAAGCTTATTGAAGAACTGGCTGCCACAAGAATAGTTGACATTTCTATTGGAGACAGTCATTGTTTGGCTCTTTCTCATGGTAAATTCATTTGTTTTAAAGAAATAATATTAGTAATTATCTTTCTTAAATATATTACATTTAAGTTTGAATTTTCTTTTGTACTTTGTTTTGTTTTTAGATAATGAAGTTTATGCCTGGGGCAATAACTCAATGGGACAGTGTGGCCAAGGAAATTCCACAGGTCCTATTACTAAACCAAAGAAAGTGAGTGGCTTAGATGGCATAGCTATTCAGCAGATCTCAGCTGGAACATCACATAGCCTGGCATGGACTGCTCTCCCTAGAGACAGGTAAGATGCTTTTGTTTTAAAACTCTTGTTTTTATTTATAACAGTAGAAACACCAGTAAGAACAGAAATAACTGTGTTTTATTTATAAAATGTCCTTCTGAACATTTCTAGTATTGGTTTGGAAATGATATCTAGATTTCATTTGAATATAGAGATTACATGTTTTTTAAGCAAGAAGTTATACCCTATATTTAAGATAGTTTCTTTCTTTCTTTCTTTTTTTTTTTTTAAGAGAGAGAGAGAATTTTTAATATTTATTTTTTACTTTTCGGCAGACTCAACATCTTTGTTTGTATGTGGTGCTGAGGATCGAACCCAGGCTGCACACATGCCAGGCAATAGCGCTACCACTTGAGTCACACCCCCAGCCCCAAGATAGTTTCTTAATTGAATTGTTTTCTTCTTTTTGTCCTCCTGCCCCCTACTTGGGATTGAATCCAGGAGTCCTCTACTACTGAGCACATCCAGCCCTTTTTGCTTTTTTATTTTGAGACATATCTTATTAAGTTGCTAAAGTTGGCCTCAAACTTGTAGGGTTCCCTGTCATCAGGCTTATAGGTATGCACCACTCCACCCAGTTAATTTAATTGTCTTCTAAGCATTTTGAATTTCATCTCTATCTCTAGATAATGATTTTTAAAAATTAAATGTTGTCATATCAAAAGGAAATTAAATAATAAGATCAGAACTAGGCTCTGGGTTTAAAACAGTTGTTTAAGTTTAGTGCCTTTATCTGATTTTTTTTTTTGGGGGGGGAATCCATCTATCCTTATCCAAACAGAGGCAATACTTTTAAGTTAAGGAAGGTATTTTTTGCAGAAATTTAGCTTTTTCCTAAGTGATAACCTTATCTTTTAAATTGATTGGTGACTTTTAGTCAATAGTAGAAGATTGAGTTTTAAGAGACATTTATGTTATATCAGATACTTGTGGATGCATATGAAATGATTTACAACTTAGAATATATTATATTTGTATTCTAGACCTTTGATTTAGAGGGCATTTATTATGATATTCTAATCAATTAAAATATTAATGACTAAAAAAATTAAATATAAATAACTTGCTATTAATATTAAACCTACAACTTTAAAACAAAAGCCAAAAAAGTTAAATATAAATAACTTGCTATTAATATTAAATCTGCAGTTCCCATTTCATATTTATGTAGTTGTTTCCCACAATCTTGTAAATCTTCACAAGAGGCTTCAGGAGTTTTTCTTTTAATAGATCTTAGTATATCACTTTATAAAATCAGGCTACTTTTTCTTAAATGATATATATATTTTATAGATGCTAGAACCAGAATTTAATAGATAATGTGACTCAGCCCTCTACTTTCAGATGAATGTGTATCCAAATGTTCAGAACTAGTTGTATTTTCTTTTTAAAGACAGTAAATTCTTGTTTTTTCTCAGTTGTTAAAATGAAGGGTTTTTTAGTATTAATTTTGAGGAACTTAAAAAAGCCAATTTCATATTACAAAACAGAAAATAAAAATAAACTTTGGCCAGTAAGATTAGAATGCACAGAAGGTTTTCTGTGTATCTTGTTGAAATCTCTCAGCCTTACTATGTTTTTTTTTTTTTTATCTTGTATGGAAATTTCCTTTTGAAGTTCATTCATGATTTTCTTATCCTTCTTTATAGACAAGTTGTTGCATGGCATCGACCTTATTGTGTAGATCTTGAAGAGAGTACCTTCTCACACCTGCGTTCGTTTCTTGAGAGATACTGTGATAAAATAAACAGTGAGATTCCTCCTCTTCCTTTCCCTTCATCAAGGTATGTTATAAATAGCTATGTATTTTATGTTTGTGTTTATATTTTGAAATGTGACTTCCTTGTTTTTCCATAAATTATATGAAACTTTTTTATAAGCTAGGAAAGAGATAAACTTATTCTTAATAACTTCTAGGTTTTAAAGGTTATCCATAATTTCACAAAACATATTTTAAAAATTTCTGTTGGGGGGCTGGGGTTGTAGCTCAGCGGTAGAGTGCTTGCCTTGCATGTGTGAGGCACCAGGTTGGATCCTCAGCACCACATAAAAAATAAATAAATAAAATAAAATAAAGGTATTGTATCCATGTACAACTAAAAATAGTTTTCAAAAGTTTCTGTTGGTCATGACATGACAAACATGTCATGGGGGGAAGGTATTAGGGATTGAACCCATGGGTACGGAACCACTGAGCTGCATTCCTAACCCTTTTTAATATTTTACTTAAATACAGGTCTTGCTTATTTGCTTAGGGCCTTCCTAAGCTGCTGAGGCTGGTCTTGAACTTGTGATCATCCTATCTCAGCCTTCCAAGCGGCTGTGATTACAGGCATGAGCCACTATGCTCAGCAAGTTGATAAAATTTTGGAAGAAAAGAAATGTTACCTGAATTGGATATCACATGCATTTTTAGGTTCCAAACATTTATAGCAGTTTATTTGGTTTCAGGGAACACCACAATTTCCTCAAGCTGTGCCTGAAGCTGCTTTCTAATCACCTTGCTCTTGCACTTGCGGGAGGGGTAGCTACCAGCATTCTTGGGAGGCAAGCAGGTCCACTTCGAAATTTGCTCTTCAGACTGATGGATTCAACTGTTCCAGATGAAATCCAAGAGGTAAGAGATTAGGACTTGTGAATCTGTAACTCAAGCCACTTTTTTTTTTTTTTTAAATTCTAGGTATGATATATATTCAACTGTACAATGGACAACTTCAATTGCATGATTTTTTTCCCTCCAATTTTCATGATGGGAGTAGATATTTTGATTAACTCATCCTTTTAACACAGGGCAGGTGCCATCTCTGAGAAACCATTCAGTCTTTTCTCTCCCACAAGGTTGAGTTTCTCCTTGTATCTCATTGTATTATAGTTGCCTATTTATAAGCATGTTCACACAAGCTGAATTTCTGAGGGTAAGGACCCACTTTTATTTATTTATTTTTATATCTTTAGTACTTATTCAATATTGATAGCTAAATAAATGGACTGGGTCATCTAATAGGGCCCCAGTAAGAGCTGTGATAAAGGTTGGCTTAAGGAGGAATAAAGGGATACAACAGTGATTATACATAAAGAGACATAGTCTGAAAAAGCTTATTTGGTATTATGTTACAGTATTAATTTTGGGAAACTGAAAAAAACATTTTTAAAATAGAAAATATGGAAAATAAAAATAAACTCTGGCCAGTAAGGATAGAATGCACAGTAATTTTTAAGCAATATATTCCTGTGTAATCAATGGGTCAAAGAAAAGATCATGAGGAAAATTAGAAAATACTTTGAATTAAATGAAAATAAAACCATAATACACCAAAACTTACAGAATTTAGCTAGAGCTGTACTGAAGGAAAAAAATTATAACCATGAATGCCTGTTTAAAAGTAGTTCATATCTCAAGTCAATAATTTAATATTTTATCTGAAGAAATTAGAAATATAAGCAGATAAACCCAGAGAAAGTTAAAAAAACAAATAATATAAATTGGAGTGAAATTAAAGAAATAAAGGATAGGAAAGCAGTTGAGAATTAAATTAGTGAAATTAAATGTTTGTTGGTTCTTTGCAAAGGTTAAAAAATTGACAAATTTCTTGCTAGACCAACCAAGCAAAAAGAGAGGGACTTCAGGTACTAAAATCAGGAATAAAAGAAAAGACATTACTACTAACTTTACAGATATACAAGGGGTTATAAAGAGATACTGTGAACAACTGTATATCAACAATTAGATAACCCAGATGAAAAGGACAGATTTCTAGAAAAACACAAATTACTAAACCAACTTAAAAATAAAAAACTGAAAAAGAAATGAAAAATCTGAATGGACCTATAATAAGAGATTAAATTTGCAATAATAATTATAAAAATTCTGTGAAGAAAAGCTCAAGACCAAATGACTTCACTATGAATTCACTAAATATTTTTGGGTTTAACACCAATACTTCACAAACACTTCAAAAGAAGAAAAAATATTTTTTAAATATATTCTAAGATTTTGAAAGAATGAAAACCCTGGACCAAAATCCATTATAAATATAGGTGTGCAAATCCTCAACAAACTATTAGCATATTAAATCCAGCAATTTATCTGAAAGATTATACACCATGACCAAGTGGGACATACCCCAGAAATTCTAGGTTGGTTCAAACTATGAAAATCAGTCAAAATAATGCATCATATTAATGAAGAATAAAATTGTGATTATTTCAGCAGATGGAGAAAAAACATTTAACAAAGCTCGACATCCTTAATGATAAAAACATGCAACAAAATAGGAATAGAAGAAAACCTTCTTTTTTCAGAAATGAAATTGCTGTATTGGTTTTTGAGATTTTAAGCATTACATGCCTATTATAAAACAAATCATTCAAAATAAAATATTTTGAAGGAGAAAGTGAATCTTTCCTAATATTACTCTTCTTGTAAATTTTCAGTCAATGTCTCTCAGACTTTTTATTCTTATCTGATAACTTTTTCAGGATAAACTCATAAATGTACCATTGAATACTCAGGGGTACACCCCTTATAAACTTTCTATATATTGCCTATGTTGTCTTTAACCTGTTTTCCACATTGCAACCAGAGAGATATTTTTTCATGTAAGAATGATTATGTTATATAAGGGAATTCTTAATGTGATAAAGAGTGTCCAGGAAAAATTCACAGCTAATATTATCTCAGTGGAGAAAGACTTGAGAGACACAGAGATCTGTATGTTCTTTGTCTCCTGAAACTGAAGGGAGTATGAGAGTAATGTAATAAAATTTATTTAAGAAACCAGAAAGGAAGCAAAGCTCCCACTGGGGAGGAGTTCCAAAAGAGGGTTACTGCTGAGTTGCTACTGTTCAGAGATTTATATGGTTTTGCTTGGAGTATTGGCTAATGATGTTAGGGAGGGGAGTTTCTAGATCCAATCAGGATGAGACACTTGGTGTTCAGGGGTTCCTAATCCAAACAGGATGTTGATCATAGCCACTTCTCAGGGATTGGCTCAGGGTGTAGCTTAGGGTGTGACTTAGGATTCTGACATACACTCCAATGAAGTTAATGACCAGAATCTGTAAGATACATGGAATCTGCCACTTACTGAGGTCCCTGCCCTAACTGCCTGTCATATCTTTGGCTCATGCTCTCACTTGAATGTTTTCCCCTTAAGATCAGGAACAAGACAGTGGTTTCCACTCTTGACATTTCTATGTCAGTCAGGGCAATTTATGCAAGAAAGAAAAAAGATATCTAGATTGGAAAATAGATAGTGAAGATATTTCTATTTGTAGATGACATGATTTGGATGTTAAAAATCCAAGAACTACACAACAAAACAAAATATGAGGCCAGTTGTAAAGGTACATGTTCTCATGCCGGGGAGGCTGAGATGGGAGAATCCTGAGAACCAGGCTAGCCTGGGCAACATAGTAAGACCCTGTTTAAAAAGAAACAACAAACAAAAAAACTATAACCTACTAGGGCTCATAAATGAGTTCAGTAAGGTTGCAGGATATAAGATCAACTTACAAAAATCAGTTGTATTTCCATATAAAAACAAAGCATAGGGGCTGGGGTTGTGGCTTAGCCGTAGAGTGCTCACCTCACATGTGTGAAGCCCTGGGTTCAATCCTCGGCACAACATAAAAATTAATAAATAAAAAAAGGTATTGTGTCCAACTACAACTAAAAATTAAATATTTTTTAAAAAATGAGCAAAGAATCCTAGAAATTTTTTCCGATAAAATATATAAATTGCCAATAAACACATGAAAAACTATTCAACATCATTAGTTATAAGTTAAAATCTAATGAAAACCTCAGTTAGATACTCTTTATACCCATTAAATAACTAGAACCAAAAAGACCAAAAGTAGTAAATGTTTGGGTGGTAAAGAAATTAGAACCTTTGTATGTTACTGATGGGGATATAAAACCATGCCATTGCTTTGGAAAACAGTTAAATAGTTCGTTAACTAGTTAAACATAAAGTAACCATATGATCCAGTGATTCCACTACAAGGTCTGTACCCAAGAGAATTAAAAACCTTATCCACACAAATACTCTTATGCAAATCTCACAGAAGCATTATTCATGGTAGCCAAAAAGTTGGAACAATTCACCCATTATCAGCTGATGAATGGGTGAACAAAAAGTGGTGTGTCTATACAATGTAATACTACAGTTCCACCATAAAACAGAATGAATAGGCAAAAGGGAATGAAAGGAAGGTGGGTAGGAATAGGAAAGACAGTGGAATGATTCTGACATAACTTTTCTTTTTCTTTTTTAATATTTTTTAGTTGTTGATAGACTTTTATTTATTTACATGTGGTGCTGAGAATTGAACCTAGTGCCTCACACATGCCAGGCAAGTGCTCTACTGCTGAACCTTAGTCCCAGCCCCAGCCCCTCTGACATAACTTTTCTAAGTACATATATGAATATACCACAGTGAATCTCTATGTCATGTACCACCACAAGACTGAGATCCTAATTAGAATAAAAGGTACTTCATGTTTGTATAAATAAGTCAAATTATACTCTGATATGTATCTAAAAAGGACAAAAAATATGGAAGTGTAATGCTTTATATTTTGGAAAGTTAGAATTTGGAGTCCAGATCTATTATTCTGTTAAAAAATATTGTAAAACTTGTAAAATATTAAAAATTGTAAAAACAAACAGAATGAAGAACTGTGATGTATGCTACATGACTGGATCTTATAAACATGCTAAGTGAAATAAACAAGACACAATAGTCTACATGTCAGTATGATTCCATAAATAAGAAATTTGAAGAGTAAGCAAATCTATAGAAACTGGTTGTCAGGGGCTTGGGGAAGAAGAGAGTGGCAGAGTTTCTTTTTGGAATGATGAAAATGTTCCAAAATTAGATAGTGATCGGTGCATAATTCTGTGGATATAGTAAAAGCCACTGAATTTTATGACACAGGGATTATAATTCAATTTGTTAAATTCAGGAAAATTAAAATCATGATTTTTCAACTAGAAGAATATATTCTCTGAAATAAGGGTGGGAAGAGTTGATCGATAGGATCCATGACAATTTAATATTTATCAGAAATTGGCTAGCATAGATTAAAGGTTAAAAGTTCTGGAGTAAAATAAGGGAAAATAGACTTAAAAAAGTAAAATTAAATATTTATTCCTTTAATCTCCTTGACAGCTACTCTATCCTTGGAGAGTACTTATAGAGTACTTAGACCCAGGATATGTACAAGGTTGTTATGATTATAGCTTATTTCTTTTCCTCTTTTCTTATCCTTGAAACTTCTAACAATTTATCTGTTTGCAACAACTACTGTTAACTGCTCTTTCTTGTGTGCTTTCCCACCTTTTTCCTTGGTCCCTCTCTGAATTTCTTTCTTTTTTAGCTTTTAATTTTGTATTTATTTATTTATTTGTGCTTTGAATTGAACCTCGGACCTCGTGTATGCTAGCAAGTACATTATTGCTGAATCATATCCTTAGCCCTAACTTTTTATTTGAACCAATTGTAGACTTAAGAAAAAGTTGCATAAGTAATGTGGTTTATGTATACATTATCTTACCCAACTTTGCCTAATATTATTTTTTTACATAGCCATAGTAAAATTATCAAAACCAAGAAATTAGTACTGGTTGAATAACAATTAACTAAACTAAAGAGCTTGTTAGAAATTACATTTGTTTTCTACTAATGTCCTTGTGATTGTAGAAGCTTTTCCGGGATCCCATATTGCATTTAATTGTTGTTTCTCCTTAGCTTCTTCTAACAATTTTTCAGTCTTTTCTTGTCTTTCTTTTCTTCCAGAAACAGAGACAGAGGTTTATTTAGGAAAGTAGACACATAATCAAGGGACAATGGAGGCAGTCTCAAAAGAAAGATGGTTTTGGGGTAAAGCAAGGAATTCACACTCAAGGGAGAACATGGGCCATCTCCAGAGGAAAAGATAGCCTTCTAGTCTTTCTTGATCTTGGTACTTCATGACTACTGGCCAATTATTTTGTTGGATGTTTCTCTGTATCTTCTTATGATTGAATAATTTTTGAAAAATTTTTGGCAAGAATACCACTGAAATGGTGTGTCCTTGGTACATCATCACATGGGCTTCATATTGATAGCTCTTTTTACTGGCCATGTTGACCATGATCATTTGAGTAAGGTAGCTTCTGCTGAATTTCTGTATCCATCATGAGCTTCTGAAAGATGGCCAATAAGAAAATATATTAAGAATATTCTCACACTTAAATATGAGAGTAGAAAATATTTATAAATAGTTTAGTCAAATTCTAAATTAGAAATCAAATTCCTATAAAAATTGTGAAGACATAGCTTGGTTTTCTTCTAGCTTTAAGTGTTGTTACTTAGGAAATCAGTGCTGTTCAAATTGTTTCTTAATTATGGAAGTTAGTTTTTCCCCTCTGGATGTTATAGCAAGTTCTACTTGTCCTTGATATTCTCACATTTCAAAGTGATATGAGTCTGACTTTATACCTTGTGGATAGGTATTTGGGTGGATCCTTTAGATGGGAAACTCATAGTCTTCAGTTTTAAGATATTATCTTTTTTGTTGATTTCCCCTTTACTGTTTTCTTCTCTAGAATTGTTTTATTACTGAGATACTGGACCTCCTGGATCATCAGTTCTCTTAATTCTCTTGTATTTTCTTTCCTATTTTTCATTTTCCTTGAATTTAGAGTTGTATTCTAACTCTTCTGTTGAGGCTTTTTATATGTATCTGTATGATATTGGGGATTAAACTCAGGGCTTGGCATGCTAGGCAAGTTTTTATATTTTATTTTGAGATGGTTGGGCCACCACTTCCAACATTGTATTGAGATTTAACATAGTTTCTTCTCAGCAAAATAAACAATCTGTCAGGTGAAGAGAGCCTACATCCTTGGAGCAAATTTTTTTATCCCTCACAATCAGATAGAACACTAATCTCTAGGTTATATAAAGAACTCAAAAAGCTAAGCACCAAAAAAACAAATAACCCAATCAATAAATGGGCCAAGGACCTGAACAGAGACTTCTCAGAAGAGAATATACAATTAATCAACAAATATATGGAAAAATGCTCATCTTCTCTAGTGATCAGAGAAATGCAAATCAAAACTACTCCTTAGAGTAGTTTTGATTTGCAAAGATATCATCTCACTCCAGTCAGAATGGGAGCTATTATGAAGACAGACAGCAATAAGTGTTGGCGAGGATGTGAGGAAAAAGGTACACTCATACATTGGTTGGTGGGACTACAAATTGGTGCAAATATGGAAAGCAGTATGGAGATTCCTTGGAAAACTGGGAGTGGAACCACCATTTGACCCAGCTATCCCTTTCTTGGACTATGCCAAAGGACTTAAAAACTGCATACTACAGGGATACAGCCACATCAATGTTTATAGCAGCACAATTCACAATAGCTAAACTGTGGAGCCAACTTAGATGCCCTTCAGTGGATGAATGGATAAAAAAATGTGGCATATATACACAATGGAATTTTACTGAGCAATAAAAGAGAATAAAATCATGGCATTTGCAGGTAAATAGAGGAATTTGGAGAAGATAATGCTAAGTGAAGTTAGCCAATCCCAAAAATACAAATGCCAAATGTTATCTGTGATATAAAGTAGCTGATTTATAGTGGAGTAGGGATGGGGAACAAGGGAGGAATAAATGAACTCTAGTTAGGGCAGAGGGGTTGGAGGGTAAGTGAGAGGGCATGGGGTTAGAAATAATGGTGGAATGAGATGGACCTCATTATCCAAAGTACATGTATGAAGACACGAATTAGTATGAATATGCTTTGCATGCAACCAGAGATATGAACACTTGTACTCTATATGTGTGATATGAATTATAATGCATTCTGCTATCATATATAAATTTTAAAAAATAGTAATTAACAAAAGAATACCAAAAAAACAAATAACCCAGCCAATATATGGGCAAAGAAATGAAACAGACACTTCATAAAAGTAGAAATACGGATGGCCAACAAAGATATAAGAAAATGTTCAAAAATCTCTGGCAATTAAAGAAATGAAAATTAAAACTACACTGAAATTCCATCTCACTCTAATCAGAATGGCAATTATGAAGAACACAAGTAACAATAAATGTTGGCAAGGATGTTGGAGAAAAGGTATACTCATATATTGCTGGTTGGACTGCAAATTGGTGCAACCACTTTAGAAAACAATATGGAGATTCCTCTGAAAACTTGAAAAGGAAGCATCATTTGACCCAGTTATTCCGCTCTTCAGAATATGAGGACTTAAAATCAGCATACTATAGCGGCCACATCAATGTTTATAGCAGCTCAATTCATAATAGCTGAACTAAGGAACCAACCTAGGTGCCCTTCCACATATGAGTGGATAAAGAAAATGTGGTGTATATACACAGTGGGATATTATTCAGCCATAAAGAAGAATGACTTTATGACTTTTGCCAGTAAATGGATGGATCTGGAGACTTTTGTGCTAGGTGAACTAAGCCAATCCCAGAAAACCAAAGACCGAATTTTCTCTCTGATATGTGGATGCTGACACACAATACGGGGTGGGGGTGGGGGAATAGAAGTTCATTGGATTAGACAAAGGGGGAGGAAGGGAAGGGAAGGAGGATGGGAATAGGAGAAACAGTAGAATGAATCCGGCATAGCTTCCCCATGTTCATATATGAATACGTGACAAGTGGTATTCCACATCATGTACAACCACAAGTATGGGATCCTAATTAGAATAATTTATATTCCATGGGTGTATACTATGCCAAAATATACTGTACTATCATGTATATCTAAAAAAGAATAAAAAATAAAACTGCAGAGGTCAATAAAAAATTAATATTTAATAACCCTAAGAAGTTTTGAGGTCTAAGATAATATAGCTAGTTATTCCTTATTTTGTTCACACTACCTGGACCATCATCTTGCTAAGTCCTGCTAACTCTCCAACTCTTAAATACTTAATCCTTAGAAGGACCTTCCATGAGCCTATGGGCCATACTAATTGTCATTCTTTTTTTTTTCTCTTTATATGACTTGTGATTTTGGTAGGGGGGCAGTACTAAGGATTGAACCCAGGGATGCTTAACCACTGAGCCACATCTCCAGCCATTTCTTAAAAAATATTTTTTTAGAGACAATCTCTCATTGAGTTGGTTAGGACCTTTATATTAAGTTGATGAGGCTGACCTTGAACTCATGATCTTCCTGCCTCAGATAATAGGTGTGTGCCATGCACCTGGCGTGACTCATGATTTTAATTACTTTTTCAGGTCCCCCCCCCCATTAGACTGTATACTCATGAAAGCAGGGCCACTTTGCACAACTTCTTACTAGGCCCAGCACTGTCAGATCAACACTAAATAATGGTTGGGTGACAGTTAACTATTTAGTAGCAAATCAAAAATTTATGTTCTATACTTCTTAAAGATATCTAATGAAGGACTTGCTTGCTTTATTTCTGCACATGCTACTTTCTTATGATCCCAATAGTCAATGGACTCACTTTTCATGTGTTTTTATTAAAAAAAAAAAAGAAAAAATCGGCCTAATCAGTCTACTTTTCTTTTTTGATATTAGGTGGTAATTGAGACTCTGTCAGTGGGAGCAACCATGCTGTTACCTCCCTTACGAGAACGGATGGAATTACTTCATTCTCTTTTACCCCAAGGACCTGATAGATGGGAAAGCTTATCTAAAGGACAGGTAAGCCTTTGCATGGATCTGTGTAAACTAGTAATATCACAAATAATTGAGAGGAAAAAAAAAGCTAATCAACTGCAATGTGTTCATGGAGTAGAACTTGATAGATATGGCAAAATCCTAGTTATTTAATGTTATTTATTGGAAGAATTCTCAGCTGTCTAGTGACTTCACGTGAAACAGGTGATAATTCATTAAATTATTGGGGCTAATTATTTAACTAATGACCAATTTTTTCAATGTCGATTATGGTATCAAGCCCAAGATCCTTTGGTTTTTTTGGTAGTATGCTGAATTGAAATCCAGGACATGTGCTACTACTGTTGGTTCTAAGCCCAGAATGTTGTTTGAAATTATTTGTCTAAAAGGTAAAAGATGATATAAAGAAAAATTATTTTAGGATATGAATATGCTTATTATTTTCATTTTTATTGTCTTAAGTGCATTAAAATAAGCATATTTTGTTGAATTGAGTAGAAGAATCAGTTGTAGAAGTACATATTTGAGGAGCAAAGTGGTAAAAACTGATAATATAATATCCATGTGGTCTTGACAATCATACATTTGAATCAGATGGGATATAATTTCTCATTTTTCTGAGTGTACAGGTTGTAGAATCACATTGGTCATGCAGTCATTGTACTGTCATATGTAACTAATTAAAACAAATTAAAAAATTAAAAAATAATAATATCCATATGGTTATGCTTTCCAGTGAGTAGTTTGCATTGGTTTAGATTTCAAGTGATTTATTTTAAACAACAGAATAAGTAGTTATCATTGGTAGTTCTGTAGAGTAACATACTTATTTGTTGGCATTTCCTACTCCTATCTACATATAGTACTTATGCACAGTATGCCATGTTAGCTTACAGTTTTAGGTTTTATAATGAAGAATGAAATAAAAATCTGTAAGTTGCATTTTCATGAATGGTATTAATTAGTTAATTTTTATTATAACTGTACACTTCATGAAGATTACTATTTAGCTGGGCTATTAGGTGGATTAGTTAGCATGATTGGTATAGTTTTATTTCTTCTAGGATCCTTTGTTTTAAAAAATATTTATTTTTTAGTTTTAGATGAACACAATATCTTTATTTTATTTTTATGTGGTGCTGAGAATCGAACCCAGTGCCTCACGTGTGCTAGGCGAGCTCGCTACCACTTGAGCCACATCCCCACCCACTCCCAGGATCGTTTTTTTTTTTTTTGTTAATTCTAATGCATCTCAGGCTAATTATGTGTTCCTATTTCATTGTTCTTTAGAGAATGCAACTGGATATCATTTTGACAAGTTTGCAAGATCATACCCATGTAGCCTCCTTACTTGGCTATAGTTCACCCTCTGATGCTGCTGACCTCTCTTCTGTGTGTACTAGCTATGGAAACCTGTCAGATCAGTCTTATGGCACTCAGAGCTGCCATCCAGATACCCATTTGGCTGAAATTTTGATGAAGACCCTCTTAAGAAATTTAGGATTTTATACAGTAAGTTACTTTTTCATTATAGTAATAAAAAAAAAAGTATGAAGGGATAAGAGTCTTTTCAAGTCAAGATATTTTGACATTTAAACACAACAGTTCATGAATTCATGTAAATGAAACTTTAATCCCACCTCCCCAAAGAGGGAAACATGGGTGTCAGGTTTTCTAAAATACTGTGGGAGCCAAATGATACGTAATTGGCAATTATAAAGAGATTTATAGTAGAATCTTACCAAACTTTTTTCTTATTAATTGAGAAGAATAAACAGATATAAATAGACAAAAAAATTTTTTAAAAATAATAATGAGCAAGGGATTAACTTTACTCAGATAAAATCTTAAAATTAAACAATGCATTTGGTTCTAATAGTCTAGTCAGTTGGAGAGTAAATAGTGGGCCCCATAGCTTTCCCTGTATTATGAAACTGTTAATTCTTACCTGTGGTGTTTCTTAAATCTTTCCATTTTTTTCTAGTCCATTTCTTCAGACCATCATAATCTCTATAATAATAAGGCTATTATAAACCATTATAGCAATTTCTCTCTAGTTCAGTATCTAGAATCATACATTTTATTTAATTTTTATGTCTCTAGTTCACTTATTTCCTTTATAATTAGAAAAAAATTTAATTAAGAATTATGTTAAAAATCCACAACGTGAAAATAAAATCTACATTGTTTTAGTTGTACTGTTTTCCTTTTTCTTGTTTTCTATTTTCAAAATTTCTGTAGTGAAGCATGTATTACTTGTTTTTTTTAATTGGAAAAACAAATTAAAATTGTTTGATGAATTTTACTATCTAATAGCTAATAGCATAAGGATTACAACAAAGATTTAAACATTGATGGGAAAAAGTAGACAATGACTTATTAAATTAGAATCATTTGTGGTAGGGCATCACTTTGATTTTCAAATTTTTAAAAGTAATCTTCATTTTTTGTCATTTTAGGATCAAGCATTTGGAGAGCTAGAAAAGAATAGTGATAAATTTCTACTTGGAACATCATCATCAGAGAACAGTCAGCCTGCTCATCTTCATGAACTGCTGTGTTCATTACAGAAACAGCTGTTGGCATTTTGCCATATTAATAACATCAGTGAGGTACATGATTTTTTGCCTTTTATGGTGATCCATCAGGGACCTTGAAAGTCAGATATTTGGTTATGCCATAATATTTTTGTAATTTTTGAATCTGTCTTTCTTTCTGGTACTGGGGATTGAACCCAGGGGTGCTTTACCATTGAGCCACATCCTCAGCCATTTTTAGTTTGAGACAGGGTCTTGCTAAGTTTCTGGTACTAGCCTCAAACTTATGATCCTCCTGCTTCAGCTTCCCAAGTTTCTGGGATTACAGAATAATATTATTATTCTGCCATTGCACCATACTGTACTTAAATCCTTCAAAGTAGTAATTAGGGACTTCTTTCTCTTCAGAACTCAAGCAGTGTGGCATTGCTTCATAAACATCTTCAGCTCTTGTTGCCTCATGCCACAGATATTTATTCACGTTCTGCAAATTTGCTGAAAGAAAGTCCTTGGAATGGCAGTGTTGGAGATAAGTTAAGAGGTAAGTTTAGTATTAAATTTCACATTTAATTGGTGGTTAAGGTAGTTAAAAAGGAAGACTCAATAGTCTTTCTAAAGCCTTAAGAGGGTCTGAAGCCTGTGAGTGGAAGAGGAATGACCTTGAAACTTCTTTCTGTTAAAGATCCTTTTGTATTAATATGCACTCCCATCAACAATGTGTATGTGTATGTCTACCACCCCCACATCCTTGTCAGCAGTTATTGTTATTTGTATTCTTGATGGTTGCCATTATAACTGGAGTGAGATGAAATATCAGTGTAGTTTATTTTTTTAGTTGTAGATGGCCATAATACTTTTACTCATTCATTCATTCATTTATTTATTTACTGTGCTGAGGATTGAACCCAGTGCCTCAAATGTGCCAGGCAACGCTCTATCACTGAGCTACAATATATAGCCCCTCAATATAGTTTTGATTTGCATTTCCCTGGCTTCTCAGGATGTTGGACATTTTTTCATGTATTTGTTGGCTATTTGTATTTTTTCTTTTGAGAAATGTCTGTTTAGATCATTTGCCCATTTATTGTCTGGGATACTTGGATTTTTTTTTTTTTGGTGGTAATTTTTTTAACTTCTTTATATATTCTGAATATTAATTCCTTGTCAGAAGATTAACTGGCAGACTTTTCCCCATTTTGTAGGTTCTCTCTTTATGCCCTTTGCTGTACAGAAGCTTTTTAATTTGAAGCCACCCCACTTGTTGATTCTTGCCTTTAGAGTCTTCTTAAGGAAGTTGTTGCCTTTTGGAGTGTTGATGCTATGTTTTCTTCTAGTAGTTGTAGTGTTTCTGGTCTAATTTCTAGGTCTTTGATCAAGTTTGAGTTACTTTTGTGGCAGAGAGAGAGGGATCTAGTTTCATTCTTCTACATATGGATATCCAGTTTCCCCAGCACTATTTGTTTTAAAAAACCCATCTTTTCTCCAATGTATGTTTTTGATGCCTTTGTCAAAGACCAGATTGCTGTAACTATATGGATTTGTCTGTGTGATTTCTATTCCTTTGGTCTTCTTGTCTATTTTTATGCTAATACCAGGTTGTTGTTTTTTTATTGGGACTGCAAGTTAGTATAACCACTGTGGAAAGAATATGGAGATTCCTCAAAAGGCTAAGAAAGAACCACCATATTTATGACCCTGATATCTCACTCCTTGGCATTTATTCAATAGAACTGTAATCAGTATACTGTTGTAATCCATGCGAACCAGTGTTTATCACAATTCATAATAGCCAAGTTGTGGAACCATCCTAGGTGTCCATCAAAGAATGAATGGATAAAGAAACTGTGGTATATATATGATGGAGTTTTACTCAGCCATAAAGAAGAATGAAATTATGTTATTTGCTGATAAATGGATGGAACTTGAGAATATCATGCTAAGAAAAATAAGCCAGATTTAGAAAGTCAAGGGCTGCACGTTTTCTCTGTTTGTGTTTCTCTCCAGCTAGAGAGAAATAAGGGGGAAAAAAGAGGGGGAGATATCATGGATATAAAAAGGGAAAAAGTAGAGTAGAGGATGGGGCCCCAGGGGAATAGAGGATAGGTTGGTAAGGGGTACCAACTGTGTAATGAAAATGACCAACTTACATGCATATATGAAAATATCACAATGAATTCTACTTTTGTGTATAACTATAATCTACCAATTAAAAAATAAATAGAAGGAAATTCAGTAAGTAGAGGAGGGAGATCAAACAGAGGGAGGAGGAGAGAAAAAGAAGTACTAGGAATTGAGAAGCAGCAAACTATGTTATATGCATTTATAATTATATCAAAGTGAACCCAACTATTATGTATAAGTATAATGTACTAATAAAAACATTGAAAAGCTATCCTTTTGATCTTGGTTTAGGGGTAATGGTAGCACTGATTGTTCTTAAGAAAGAAATTCTAATTGGCAAGGCAGGGACTTAATTTAAAGACATTGGATGCTATAAACTCAGAAACATCAGTTTTAAATGACATAAAGTGAAATGCTTTTATCTACTATTTCTCTTTCTTAACCTTTGTCATTGTTCCTTTTTCCTATTTGAAATGCTTTCTTCTGTGGCCTACTTTGTAGTCACAGGTCTGTCTTTTCCCATGTCTTTGACCATTGTTTTTTTGTGGGTTCTTGTAGGCCTCTTCATTGGACATGACTGTTAATGTTGAGGACCCTCTGAATTCTGTTTTAAGCTCTTTTTTTTCTTCCTGAATAGACTTGTCTAATCTAAGTAATGTTTTTAACCATAATATGTATGTTAATGACTCCCATATCTGTATCTAGCTAAAAACTTTCATGAGCACTAAAGCCTTTATCTTGTTGCCTACCTGTATTTTTTCTTGCTTGTCCAAAATACAACTAATAATTTAGTATGTATGACCTTAACCAAATAAACTCTGATGTTTTCCTGATGATAAAGAAAGAAACAAACTGAGAAACTCAAATTACTGCTTTTAGGTACCTCCATTTGTCTGTTCCACAAGCATCTGAAACATTTTAATTTTTTTCAACTTGATAATGAAAAATTTTATTTTTATACATAAAGTTGGATGAAAACCATTACTAGTTCTATTAAAGAAAATCCAAGGGGCTGGGATTGTGGCTCAGCAGTAGAGTACTCACCTAGTACGGGCGGGACCCAGGTTCAATCCTCAGCACCACATAAAAATAAAGGCATTGTGTTGTGTTCATCTACACCTAAAAAATAAATATTAAAAAAAAAAGAAAATCCAACATTTCAACTGCAAAGTATAGTAATTATATCGACTCATTAAATACTATTTAAGCTTCTAAAACACAATTTGAAATACTTGTTTAATTTCAGTACATTGGATTCAGGTATGCATGTTATATGCATCAAGGCTAGATTACAAATTAACTTAGTCATCATCGTCTTTATTATGTTTTGTTTTCAATGCATTTGATGATTTATTGGCAGTATTTTGTGATGATACCAGATTAGTGGGAATAAGAGTGTTTTTGGACCCAAGTAATGATGAATTAATAAGAACATTCTGAATTGCTGATTTTGTAGGAATTGATGATCTTTCAGCAGAGAACTGTGAGGCAACCATCTTTATTGCAAACCTTTGCCCTATAAGAGATATTGGAATCTTTAATTGAAACAGACATGGTTTGTGGGGTTGATGTGCCTAGTGTGGGAGTATTTAATCTGATATTAGCTGTGGAACTGTTATTCCTGCTAAATAGATGTCTTAATTTGTATAGACTTGAGCCTATAGTTTGAAGCTGCTGAACAATATCTATCAGATTGACAGTCTAGAACCTATCTGTGGCTTGGTCAATAGCAAAGGAGTTTGGTTTCTTTGTCTTACAATATCTAATAAAATATCTCTTGAGGAAGGAAATGTAAGAGACTGGTGAGCTCAACACTAGATTGCCATTCTGCACATCATCTACGTCAACCGTAGCTTTCTTTCTTTCTTTTTTTTTTTTTTTTGGTAGCAGGGATTGAACTCCGGGGTCACTTGACCACTGAGCCACACACCAGCCCTATTTTGTATTTTATTTGGAGATAGGGTTTCACTGAGTTGCTTAGCACCTCACTTTTGTTGAGGCTGGCTTTGAATTCGCAATCCTTCTGCCTCAGCCTCCTGAGCTGCTGGGATTACAGGCAAGCACCATTATACCCAGCTCAACTGTAGCTTTCTTAGCATGGCTTGAATAAGTTTTAGCATCATCTGGAATTGTGGTCACATATTAAAAGGCAGACTCCAACACCAGATTTATAGCTCTTGCCTCTTCTGTAATCCCCATATCCTTTAGGATTTGTGTCATTATTTGTGCATTTTTTGGCATGTTTGTTGGAGAAGCCATCTTGCCTGATTCCATGATGCCTGGTGATCAAGCTTCTTGAGCTAAATCAACCACATTAATGTACTTTAGTCCTGATCTGAATGCAAGTTTTTTTTGCCTATTGTGGTTTTTCCAACTTCTAGTATACTGATGAACACAGTGTTCAAAATCAACATAATCATCACTGTGATCTAAAATTTAATGTGTTCAAACTGATGTCATATCTGAATGTTCCTTCTAGTTTCAAATGCAATGAAATATTGAAACAAATTTGATTTAAAATAAATATCCATAATTAAAAGTCATGTTTTAAGATGGTCTTAATTTTAAAAAGCAAATTTGGTTTAAAATAAATCAAAAATTTCTCTCACTAGAATGTAATCACCACAAGGCAAGAATTTTGACAGCTTTGGTAATGGCTGTTTCCCCTTTATTTAGACCAGTGTCTGGTCTTGTTGGTACTCCATATATTTTTCTTTCCAGTACTAGGAATTGAACCCAGGAATTGACCCATGCTAGGCAAGCACTGTACCACTGAGCTACATCCCCAGATTGTTCTCAATAAATATTTGAGTAAATTTTAAAATGAGGATAAATTAATGAGTGAGAAATTCATAATACATTTTAAGGAAAGAAGTTTTAATCCTTTGAATTTGTTGGTATGGAAGGTATGTATGCTATCTTACAAAATGTTTGTTGAATGTTAGTAAATTCTAGTGTGATACCAGCTACCAGGTGGGTGTTCAGCAAAGAGGTATTGAATTAGTCTACCCTGTTCCAAACTAAAGTAATATTTCTTAGGTTCTTTTTTTTCCTTTTAAGTTTATTTGAAATAATTAATTGACATTGCATTTTGCCCTCATAGATGTGATATACGTCTCAGCTGCAGGCAGCATGCTTTGTCAGATTGTTAATTCCCTGCTGTTACTCCCAGTGTCAGTGGCTCGTCCTTTATTGAGTTACCTCCTTGATCTTTTGCCACCACTTGATTGCCTTAATAGACTTCTGCCAGCTGCTGCTCTTTTAGAAGACCAAGAGCTACAGTGGCCTCTTCATGGTAAGTAAAGGTAGTTAAGAGGTTAAATAATACTTCTCAGAAAAGTTGTTCCTCTTGCATACATCATTTAAAGTCTTGACACTTGGATTTTTGGTGTAATCATAGGTATAAGATTATCTTCTAAGACTTTAGAATCTAAAGTGAGAACTGACTTGAAGCAACCAAAAAAGTTGCTAGTTATATGAGAGTTACAAAAAGTATCTTTATGATCATCAGGCTTGAGTATTGGTTCTAAGACTTCTTTTCCTTCAAAATTTGACATAGTTGAAATTGAGATGCACCTTACAATGCATAATACGAAGGCATTGTTATAATTTATTCAGCACCGTTTTTTCCTTAGAGGTACTTAAAATAATGTAGTCAATATATTTTTGTATATTGTAATCAATATATAATTTATAAAATTTGAAATAAGTATATTATTAGATTAATCAATATAGTAGATTCAACTAAAAAGTTTCATTTCTTAAAACAAAGGTTTTTCATTTTAAATCTGTTTGACAGATTTTGTTTGGACATATAGAGAGCTGATTGAATGTGAAGAATAGAAATTGAGAACCCATCTTTCAGTGCTTTTATTTTTGGGTACTTTGTAGGAAATAATATTTTGATTTTAGATATGGCATTTTAATTCACTTTTTTTATGTGGGCTGGGAAAAACTGGGAATTGAACCCATAGATTGTTTTAGCACGGAGCTACATCACCAACCCTTTTTTAAAATAAATTATTTTGAGACCGAGTCTTGTTAAGTTGCCCAAGCTGTTCTCGAACTTGGAATCTTTCTTGTCAGCCTCCCAAGTATTTGGGATTTTGGAGGTGTACTACCACTCTCAGCCTTGTTTTTTCAAATAACTGTGTTTTGGATTTTTTGATTTCTGTTTTTCTTTATATCACTATGTCTTCTTAATTTTAAGTGTCTTCTTTTTTTTTTTTTTAACTGAAGAACTTTTAAAAACAAATGTACAGGGCTGGGGTTGTGGCTCAGTGGTGGAGCGCTTGCCTACCACATGTGAGGCATTGGGTTTGAGCCTGAGCACCACATAAAAAATAAACAAAATCAAGTTATAAAACAAAAAACTAAATGTACAGTTGGATGCAGTGATGCATGCCTGTAATCCCAGTGACTCAGAAGGTTGAGACAGGAGGATTGCAAGTTTGAGGCCAGCCTCAGCAACTTAGTGAGACCCTGTCTCAAAATACAAAATAAAAAGGGGGCTGGGGATGTGGCTCAAGCAGTAGCGCGCTCGCCTGGCATGTGTGTGGCCTGGAGGTTCGATCCTCAACACCACGTACAAACAAAGATGTTGTGTCCGCCGAAAACTAAAACATAAATATTAAAATTTCTCTCTCTCTGTCTCTCTTAAAAAAAAAGAAATTTCCATACAATTCATTTAAAAAAAATTAAAAGGGCAGGTGATGTAACTCAGTGGTAAAGAACCCTGGAGCTTAATTCCCAGTACTAAAAACAAAACAAAACAGAAACAAAATATGCGGTGAGAAAAAGCATAGGTGTGCATCTTAGTACAAAACAATTCTGAATTCAAGTCCTGAAAGCATTAAATAGTACTGTCACTTTAATGGATCTACTCTTATTTTGATTTTAGAGTAAGGTGCTCAAAGAGGAACTAGGAATGATAAAATTTGATCTGGAGAATAAGAACAGAATACATAGAATAATTTTGTGATAGACCATTTTAATGTTTATCTTAAAATCACTGTCTTTATGAAAGAAAATTTTATTTCAGAAAGTTTAAAGAATTTTTTTTTCTGCATCAGGAAATGAACCCAGGGCCATGTGCATGCTAGACAAGTATTCTACCACTGAGTTACATCCCCAGCAGAAATTTTTATTTAATAATACAACTTCTCTGAATGCATTTTAAATTAGCTTGGTATACCAGAAAAAATATATAGAAAGTATTATAATATATGTTTTCATTATGAAATTATTTTGCCTCATTATCTTATTATAGTATAAAATACCATGAGAAAGCTTCTAAATCTTAAATATGCCAGATAAAGACACAATTAATAATGATTTTGTCTGTAGGAGGGCCGGAAGTAATTGACCCTGCTGGTGTGCCCTTACCTCAGCCAGCTCAGTCTTGGGTGTGGCTTGTTGATCTGGAAAGGACAATTGCTCTCCTAATTGGGCGGTGTCTTGGTGGCATGCTTCAGGGCTCCCCCGTGTCTCCAGAGGAACAGGATACTGCATATTGGATGAAAACACCACTTTTCAGTGATGGTGTAGAAATGGACACACCTCAGTTAGGTAATGTGCTTCTCTGCGATTTTTAAAATGCGTTCTTGTTTGTACCTCTATTAGACATTTCTCTTATTTTGAGTTTGTGAAATAGAAAACTGATATACAGTTGCAGTATTAGCAACTGTCTGAGACTGTAACTTGGAGCCCACAGAAGAAAACAATTATATCTTGCAGCATGGTATAGTGAAAAGAGCCCCCTAAACTAAGAAAATGTGGGTCTGGTTCTACTCTGTTATCTTTTTTACTCATTTTGAGCAAGGTATTTAACTCATAAAAATAGAGAAAATGCTTGATTTATTTTGTTCTGAAGCTTAGGGGTTGTAAACTATCTCATAGAATGTAAAGTACTGAAGGAGTACCTGTTGTGACTTAACCATTGCCTATTTTTTCAAATACCCCTCAGATGTGTGTGGCAGTCTTTTCTCTCTCTCCATTTGTAATATCTATGGTCTATGGGTTTTCCTTTTCTACCTCATCTCTCACTTCTCTGTGTTAGGACTTATCCAGTACTCCAACAGATGATCTACTTGTTTTATGTAAGCTTAGTCCTTTAATCTTTCTGGACCTCTGATTTTGAATCTATTAAATAATGAGTTATATTAATCTATATAGTCTTATTAGATCTAAAACTCGTTTCTTGATAAGAGAAACTGAGTGTTCACAAAGGAAAGTCTGAAGAGAGGGAGAAGAATTGTGGAAGGGAAAAAGGGAAGGGAGAGAATAAAGGAGGGAGGAGAAAAGAAAAGAAAGAAATCTAAGACAAAATGAGAGAAAGATTCTCCTTTGGGAATTGCAAGTATGAAGAGTAAGATTGAGGGAAGCAGTTAAAGAATTTCTTCTTTTTCCTAATAAGAGTGTGTATTCATCATTTCATTTATGAACCAGAAAGTGAGTTGGACCATGGTTGATGAATACTAGACTGGTGTTTATGATATATTTTAATTAAAAATGTAAAATCATGTGGTGTTCAAGTGATATTTAACACAATGAAGAGAGTTTCATTGCTCTTAATGTTTACCATTCTGATAGTCCCAAATGATCTCCTGAGGAAAAAAAAGTATATCTCTTCCTTCTTCATATTTCTGTTATATTTACTTTATTCAGTTAACTGGGCTTAAATATGAAATCAATTTTAATGTTATTTTTAAATTAAAAATCATGAAATTATTAAAATGTTCTTGTTTAAATACTTATGTAAAGGAAAAAGTATTATCATAAAATTATAAATATTTAATAATTCTGTTGTATTATGGGTTAAATTGACTTTTGGGACTTGCCAACAAAACTTACCATCATTTAGAGCATTGTTTTGTGTGTTTTTAAAATAGATGAATTCTGAATGCCAGATGTTGCATTGAAAAGTTAGGAACCATCTGTACAAATATGATTGCCTATTGAAAAAAAATTGTTCATGGTATCTTTGACCTTTCTTAGATGATTTTTAACTGATAATTTTCCTTTAAGTCTAGCAAAAAAGAAAAAAAATTCAGTCTTGTCTCTTGTCCTATGGTCCCATGTTTCTCACAGAGGGTACCATTCCATTTTGAACAAGAGAGTTTTATGTTATACAGGTCTGTGCTGCACATATAGGACATTTTGTATCCTTGACCTTTGTCTGCCAAAGTGCCAGAACTCTTCCTTGAATGCCACATTCTTTAGAGGTAGTAAGTAGGGTGATGCTACCTCAAACTGAAAAACATTGAATAACTTTACCTAATAGCATCTACTTAAAATGATTTGAAGTATATAATTTCATATATGCATTAAATAAATGTGTTTATTTGTAGCAGCAAAGTTTATGAGGTTTAAAATTGGTAACTTGAAATATATATATATATATATATATATATATAATTTTTTTTTTTTAGATAAATGTATGAGTTGCCTATTAGAAGTAGCTCTTTCAGGAAATGAAGAACAGAAGCCTTTTGATTACAAATTGCGTCCTGAAATTGCTGTCTACGTAGACTTAGCATTGGGTTGTTCTAAAGAGCCTGCCCGAAGCCTTTGGATCAGCATGCAGGATTATGCTGTTAGCAAAGGTAAAATAAAGACAATAAGGAAGTAAATATGTTGTTGACTTAGATCGCTGACTAACATATATGCATTATTTATAGGACTCACCATGTTACTTTTTCATAGGAAAAAGACATTTTTATACATAGCATTTTTTTAAAGAGAGAGAGAGAGAGAGAGAGAGAGAGAGAGAATTTTTAAAAATATTTATTTTTCAGTTTTTGGTGGACACAACATCTTTATTTTATTTTTATGTGGTGCTGAGGATCAAACCCAGCGCCCCGTGCATGCCAGGCAAGTGCATACCGCTTGAGCCACATCCCCAGCCTCATATACATAGCATTTTTAAAGTTTCTTTTGACCTTTGTGGAAAACACCCTAGGTGGTTTTTTTATATATAAGTATTCCACTTAAAGGAAACTCTCTATGTAAAAACTAAATTTATGTGATAAATCATTTTACTATTCTATGATGTTTAAATTGAGTCTGTTTAATGGGTATCTTCCCTTTCCAAGCCCTACTTTAATAACTGAAAAAAATGTGTGCTTAGAAATATAACCTCCAAACTTGATGAGTGTTTTTCTTTTTTTTTTAAAAAAAGAGAGAACTTTTAATATTTATTTTTTAGTTTTCGGCGGACATAGCATCTTTGTTTGTATGTGAGGATCGAACCCGGGCCGCACGCATGCCAGGCGAGCGCGCTACCGCTTGAGCCACATCCCCAGTCCTTGATGAGTGTTTTCTTCATCTATAAAATACTTGACAACTTCTGAATGTTGCTAGAGATAGCAGTTTGACAATCATGAAGCTGAGGTAGGAAGAAATGAAGAACAGTTCTAGCCAACTTCTTAACTTCAACCCTGTCTCAAAAAATTTTTTTAAAAAAAGATCAGGATGTAACTCAGTGGTAGAGAATCTTCAGATTTAGTCCCTGTACCGGCTGCCCCCCAGTTATAAATTTGAGACAAGGTATACTGTTAAATATAGTACTATGCAAATTATATGGTGGTATTTCAGTTTCTAATATTTTTTAATAAAATTATTTATAAAAATTTTTAAAGAATATATTGATTTCATTGTAGATCCCATTTTCCTTTAAAGATGACTTGTACTGTTTAGAATCACATGTCTCTAGTTAATGTTCTCCATTTTATTCTCTCTTATGCCATCTTTAATTTTCTCCCATTTCTTTGGATTTTCTTCTATGATAAAAATGGTAAAAGTGAACAAAGTTGCACTTTTAATTGGCTATTTCTAAATAAAATGAATGGAGAAACATATTCAGACTTTTTTTCTGGCAGGCAGGTACCAGGGATTGAGCCCAGGGGAGCTTAGTCTTTGAACCATATCTGTATCACCCCTCCCCTTTATATAATTTTGAGACAGGGTCTTAATAAGTTGCTGAAGTCCTTGCCAAGTTGTTGAGGCTGGCTTTGAACCTGCCATCCTGCTGCCTCAGCTTCCTGAACCACTGGGATTACAGGTGTGTACCATTCATGGCTGTTATTTAGATTTTTTAAATACTGGCAAGAAGATACCTTTGAAAGTTTAATCTTCACACATGGGGCATGGGATGCATGCCTATAATCACAGAAACTCCAGAGGCTGAGGTAGAATGATTGCAAGTTCAAGGACAGACTGGGCAATACAATATAGCAAGAATGCCATCTCAAAAACAGACATTCAGGAAAAAATGTTTAATCTCATTCATTTTGTTTGTGTCCTAATCATTTTTCATTCATTCTGTTGTGTGATTCCTACCAGAAGTGGAAAAGTAAGTTAATGGAGAAGAAAAATTTACTTTCTAAGTTGTGTATTCTGATATTCTGATATTTGTCCCATTTACTTAGAAATGCAGTCAGATTTTCTTTTATCTCAAACTCACATTGTCATTTGTTACACTGCAATGAGAACTTTTAAAACCTAGATATAAATATATAGTGAGTAAAATCTTACCATTTGCTCTATTGCTTATATTATTACAGCATGAATTGCATACCTGATTAGTGGAGCCATTCTGTAGTGCTTGGAGTAAAAAGAACATAATTTTAATGAAAATGTAATAAAAGAACACATTATTTTAAAAATCACATAGGAGAATAATCCCTGCTAAATTTGTAACAGAGTCAAGGTTGTTACTATAGTTTGCTTTTCAAGATGAGTTTTAGCCTCCTTGAGGAATCCTGTGTGATTATAAATATGGCAGTTTTCACAGTAGTCAGCAGACCCATAGAAAAGATGACTTCTTAAGAATCAGATGTGGATACAATTTTTATGTGATACAGACTGTCATCCTAAAAGTCTTTGTGGGACATGAGGTTTTCTTAAAATCAGACATATTTGTATAGTCAATTTTTTCACCTATAAAATAGGTAAGTCTAATCCTACATTTTTGACCTAGGCATACATAAATGAAATGGAAAACCAAGGTGTAACATTTTATCTTTTGAGATAGGAGTATTAAGAAGAGATTAAAAAGAAATAAAATTAAGTAGAATTTGATATTTTCCAAGGATGTTTTTTGTTTGATTTTGTTTGTAAGTAGCACATGCATTTAGTAAATCTGTTATATGAACAGAGTCTACAATTACTCTGGAGATTAGTGAAAATAAACCTTCCATCTCCATTTGGAATCTACTAAATATAATGTATTTTAAAAGTGCAGTACTGATGTGCCAACATGAAATTAAAGAATGGGAAGAAAAAAACATCTGACTGGTTCTCTTTATCTCATGCTGTCATTTGGGATTCTAATTGCTTTTGCTCATTTCTCTCCAAATGTTGTTTTGTTTCTTATCTACTTTAATGTATTGGGGCTCATAGAACCTTCTTTTATGGCTTTAATTATCAGACATGTACACACATGAATAGTTTATTCAGTGTTTTTATTAGTATGTCCAACAGATAATATTCAAAATGAAACTCCTGATTCCAGCTTCCCACCCTCAAAACTGTTCTTCTGTGGTCTCTCTGTGCCAACTACATTTTATTTATTTATTTCAACTATATTTTAAATCTATTTAGATTCAACTATGACTTCTCTCTCATTCTCACATCACATATCTAATCCATTAACAAATCCTGTCAACACCTTTGAAATAATATATATGAGCTCTTCCACTTCTTATTACTTCCACTGCTCCACCATCCTTTCTCACTTGCATTATTGCAATAATAACTTTTTTGCTGTCACTATTAATTATTCTTCCACTCAGCAGTCAGAGAGCTTTTTAAAGATCTTGTCATTATCTCTGCTCAAAGCGTTCTAATGCTGATTCTCATTTTCCTGTTAGGAAAACCTGGAGGATGTGCTTTGTTCCACAGACCAATGTGATCTCATCCCTAGCCAGCTCTCTAGTGTCTTTTCCTACTACTCACTCTTGTGCATGCACTCTTCGCTCCATCTACACTGGTCTCCTTGAGCCCTCTAGCTAGATCCTCTGCCTAGTAACTTTCCTGAGGGGATACTGTTTCTACCTGGCTTCTTTCCCTACTTCAGTTAGATTTCTGCTCCTATGTAGCCTTATCATAAACTTTTCAGACCATCCTATTTAAAATAATAATTGCATATAGTACAATACTCCTTTTCTCCTTATTCTATTTTATTTTTAGCCTTAGAACTTATCTGTCATATTATTGTTTTTATTTGTTCTCTTTTACCTGCTGCCTTCTTTTTTTAATATTAATTTTTTTTAGTTGTAGTAGGACACAATACCTCTATTTTGTTTATTTATTTATTTTTATGTGGTGCTGAGGATCGAACCCAGGGCCCTGCATGTACGAGGCGAGTATTCTACCGCAGAGTCACAACCCCAGCCCCAACCCGCTGCCTTCTTATCCTTCTGCCAGAAATCTAAGCTCTGTGAGATTTGCTTACTGTTGTATCCCAGCACCTGAAACAGTATGGGCATTTGTTAAGTAACTGTTTAGAATAAGATGATAAAATTCAAGTGTTGGATGCATAAAATTATTAAATTTACTTCTGAACTGTTTTCTGAGTCCTTTTAAATGTCAATGCATCATTTTTATTTTCAGATTGGGACAGTGCAACTTTAAGTAATGAGTCACTCTTGGATACTGTGTCTAGATTTGTTCTTGCAGCACTTCTGAAACACACAAATTTACTTGGTCAAGCATGTGGAGAAAGCCGGCAAGTAACTTAAAACTATCCTCAGACAAATATTTGTTCTCATGATGTTAGAAATTAGGTGACCTTTCTATTTTGATTCTTTATTTAGATATCAACCTGGTAAAAGCTTATCAGAAGTGTACCGTTGTGTATACAAAGTTCGAAGTCGTTTACTTGCTTGCAAGAACCTTGAACTTATTCAAACCAGGTCATCATCACGAGACAGATGGGTAAAGTTGGAAATTAATTAATTTCTGTATTTTTCTACAAGCTGTCAGATAGCTCCATATTAGTTTATTTGAGAAAATAGGTACCTTGATTGTTGTAAATGTTCAATAAATGTTGAATAGTTTATCCTTATTAAAAAGATAGAAGTCAAAAGATTTGGCATTCATTTAATGACACTTTTATCAAGTGGAATGGACTGCTAAGAAAGTTTATATAGTCTTATCCTGCATAAATAATATTTATTAACAACAAATTGAATGATTAAAATCATCAGAAATATTCTTTTTTTAATGTGCATCAGGCCACATTTGAATTACCCTTTTTTACTTGGGGTGCCAGAAGTTATAAGGGTTATTACCAAATACTTTGGATTGGTAAAAGTTCCAGAAATTATCTTATATGAGAATAGAAAAGTATCAAAAAGGTTCAGTCTAGAAAAGTGAAAATAAAGAAAGGAATCACATGAAAATAGACCTTCTTATGATTTGTTTTCCACTAAAAGTGAAGATTGAAATTATTAAGGATGATCCAGAAGAAATTCTTGCAACAAAAATGAGATAATTTTTAAACTACTTGGTGATTCTGCTAACTTGATCCTGTAATTATAAATATAAGCCTGGGAACATCATCTTCAGAAATACTTACTTTGAAACTTGACACTACAGATGCTTTCCACTCCATCATTTAGTTCTTACATATAAAAAACCAAAATATTTCTAAATTTGTTGTATAGTAAATTTTGGATATTCACTGATTTAACATTTGTGGATTTGACTATTTGAGAGTGATCTTGAAAGTCCATTAAAAAAAGTGTTAATTATCCATTTTATTGAGGCTCAATTTTGAAATTCACATATTATGGGGACTAATGACATGTATTATGGAGTCTGATTGCTCAGTAATTCCATCTCTGTCAGATTTCTAAATTACTTACTGGTCATGAATCACAAAATAACTTGTGATGGATCTGAGGATATAATTAAAATTTTTCATTTGTGCTTTATACTGAAATTTGTTAGAGAAGATTTATATTGTTATGGTTTTTGTGACCCTCTGAGTACCTGTTTTCAGGACTCTTTCCTCTATCCTGATGATTGCTAGGTAGCATGTCCACAGTAGGAAATAAAGTTAATATTGTTCTTACTGTAATTCTATTTTTTTTGGTTTTTCAGGGGCAAGGTTAAAGAAAAAAGAACTATTTTAAATTTAGAGTTATTAAACATTATTTATACAGGAGAGTAATATACACAACTTGAGGGAAACAATGGAATCAACATCTTATTCTTTAATTATCTTTTATGCTTGGTGTCTTATTTAACATAACTTATTTTAACTTGCAGCCTCGTAGTTTTACAGGTAAATAGTAACATAAATGTGAATCACTTTAGGGTATGGCATTTTAATCAAAATACTGAGGAAGGTAACCTATATGGGTTTGTATATTTTGTGTGCATACATATTCTTTCTAATCTTTTAAGATTTATCTAGTATTATCTAGATAATACTTGAGTTTTTGTTGTAAAATTCATGTTATTTTTATATCAGCAATATTTTCCATGATAAAAAGTTAAAGTTTTAGGAAATTTTTAAAAGCTTTTGAAAGATATATTCAGTGTAGTTTCTGATAATTTCTTTAAGATCTCAGACAACCAAGACTCTGCAGATGTTGATCCTCAGGAACATTCATTTACCCGGACCATTGATGAAGAAGCTGAAATGGAAGAACAGGCTGAGAGAGACAGAGAAGAGGGGCATCCAGAGCCAGAGGATGAGGAGGAAGAACGGGAACATGAAGTGATGACAGCTGGCAGTGAGTACATCCTTCTTACTTTAGAGATAAACACCATGACATTCTTTTCCATAGGAAAGCTGACTTGAGAGATAAAGGCAAAGTTTCTTTATGGTTTTTCTAAATGGATCTGATATTCTAATGGTGATCTGAATTTGCATTAGCTAGTATTTCAAAGGGGAGTTTAAAACTGCTAGTGCCATTCTGAAGGTTTGGGATTGCATGTTTAGGCTAAAAAGCTCTGTTCAACTCAACTGCATATATGAAATAAGTCATTGAATAAGGTCATTCAAAATATGTCCTCTGGGGATACCAAGTTGTTGGTCAGCTTTGCAAACCTCTATGTGGGGAGAAACAGAGCCCCCTTTCTGTGCCTGTTAGGAGGACCAAATTATTTTCCATGTGTAAAACTTTTAAAACTATAAATTTCAACTACATTGCAATATCAGTAGAAAGCAGGAATATGTATGAGAATTTCATTGGGTGAGTGAAGAAATCTTTTTTTCATAATTTTATATTCCAAGGCTAAAAATGATTTTTAAAGGTAACTGTGTTTAAGAGAATGCTTTCCAAACATTTATTGGTATCATATGAGTGATTTGGCTATTTCAAATTAAAATGTATTTGATCTGTAGCTTAAAACATTATGGCCAGCTTTGCATTTGTTGTTGAGATTGTATGTATCAGTCAACTTGACACTTTGTTATTGATTTATTTCTGTACTACATACTTCTAAAATAATTTTGAGATGTCTCAAAACAAGACTAAAAACCATTTAAACAAGAGAAGAAAGAGTCTAAATGGAGAAAATGAGTTTGGAGATAGTGAGGGAGAATAATTATATTTTAAAAATCTAAGTTGAAGGAACTTTTGCAGTTGAAATTAAAACTTAGTGTAAAATTCTTGGAAGCAAAGGCCAAAGAGGAAAACATAATAATAACAAAGCACAACCCTCAATTACAATAAAAGAATGTGTAATAGTCACCGGAGGAGTAATTTTTAAAACTAGCTATGATTTTTAAGCATTTACGTAAAACTGGGTCATGTACATTAATTCAATTCTCACAACAGTTTTATGAGATAAGTTCTAGTATTACTCCATTCTAAAGATAGGTGAACTGTGGTTTAAGGAGACAAAATTATGTACCTAGGGCCACAGTTAGTAGTAACTGGAGTAAGAATCAAATCTGCCCAAAATTCTAGTGACTTTTAACTACTTTCACTGATTTCTTGCTCTGGATTCTGGGAGGATTTGTTGCTTTGAGTTTTATAGAAGTAAAGGACTTTCAGCAACATAAAGAAAATGTTGTCAGAATATATCTATATCTATATCTATACACAGATCCATTTTTTAAGTTTGTACTTCCATAACAACAGGTGAATCTAGTATTTTACTAACTTTTCTGCCTGGAGTCCCCATTAAGAATACTACTTTTACACTAAATTTGAGCAAAAAAAAAAAATTTAGTTATTGTGGAATGAAATACCTGCCACTGCATTGGAATCTTGTTAAGCTTCATAGCATTTTACACTTGTGAGTTGGGGAAGGGCTGGTCTTATCAGATGGACCTTTCAGTGTGATACTATCGGATTTTGGAGGCAATCTTGCCCATGTATCATAACCAGACTGTTTCAGCAAAGACCCATGCAGTTGCACTTATTTAAGTGTTTAAGATACAGCAAAAATGTAGATATAAGGCATTATGTGAACTTTGGAAGGAGAGGAAGTTTTTTATAGTATATTTAATTTTTTTCCCCATTTCCTTTGTAACCTGAGGTTTTTCATTCCAAAGTCAGAACAGAATAATCACTTGTTTTAAGCTAAGCTAGTGCTTCACGGGCTTTAATGGACTTTAAAATCAGTGGGTAATGGACTTTAAAATCAGTGGGAGGACTTTTAAAAACAGATTGCTGGGTTCTACTCCTAGAATTCCTGACTTAGGAGATAAGGGGTGGGCCTGATAATTTGTATTCCAAACAAGTGCTCAGATGCTGCTGCTGCTGCTGTTCTGGGACACATTTTGAAAGCCACTTACATTGACTCTTTTTTACTGGAACTAGGAATTAGGTTAATACAACAGCTGATTAACAATAGAAAAGCATATAAGTTTTATTGGTTTTACATGTTCATGGGTATCTTCATAAGAGTGTGAAGTCTTAAAAAAATTACCAAAGCTGATGCTTTTATACTTTTGAAACTAAGAAAAATACATTATAAAGGAACTAAGACAAAAATGACATCTGGACTGGGGGAGTAAATTCTGGAGACTTTTTACTAAGAGATACTAGAGGAGGCAGGGATTGCAGAAGCTAATGGAAGACAAGGATTACAAAGAGTTTGCTTGTTCAGATTCTTTGCAGATCCAATTATCAGTCTCTTCTAATTAGGGCTATTGTCTGGCCTTGGTATGTAAAGGGCATCTCTTCCAAAAGACTCTACTCTACATGGCTTTCTGCATATAGGAAAAGACCTGCCAAACGGCCTCTTCTGAATTTATAGTTCCTTAAGTGATTTCAACTTACAATAATCAATATACCTATTTGGCGTGTTTTAAGATAGCATGTACCTTACTTTTTCCTGTACTTAATTTAGCTAAGTTGTATAAAAACATATGAACATTTCTTATTTAATTTTGATGAAAAATGTAATGTTTAATATATTTTTTTACTTAACTTTAAGTTACTATGCTGTATTTAATGTCTAAAAATAATTTTTCCCTCTTTCAGTAAGTTTTTGGTCCAAACTTTTTGACTATTTTTGTTGTTATTTTCTTTGCTCTTGTCTCCCATGTGTTAAGACCTTGTTTTTGTGTTGCATGTTACAGAAATCTTTCAGTGTTTCCTCTCAGCCCGTGAAGTAGCTCGTAGCCGAGACCGAGATAGAATGAACAGTGGGGCAGGGTCTGGGGCTCGAGTTGATGATCCACCTCCTCAGTCTCAGCAAGAGCGAAGGGTCAGCACAGACCTTCCTGAGGGTCAGGATGTGTATACTGCTGCCTGCAACTCTGTGATCCACCGGTGTGCCCTGTTAATATTAGGAGTAAGTCCTGTCATTGATGAGCTTCAGAAGCGAAGGGAAGAAGGACAGTTGCAGCAGCCCTCTACCAGTGCCTCTGAAGGGGGTGGACTTATGACCAGGTGGGACTAACTAAAAACTTAAAACATCACATTCTTCCCTTTGTTACTCTACACATCAAAATGGTTTATTCTCAAAGTTACAGTGTTCTGAAATTAAAGACATGGAAGAAGAAATACAAATTGACTAAGATTGCTTTAAAGTAACCTAAATAGTGATACTGGTTCAGCATAAAATATAAATTTCTGATTAAATGAGGAAGCATAAGTTTTCATGTATATGAGTAACAGGAGTTGAAAACCATACAAACTTATTTGCATCTCTATAATTTAGTGTCATGCAAATTATTACAATTGATATAATTGGTAAGGGCTTTGTGTTTAGACAAGAGTCAGGATTTCCCACCAGCAGACATAACTACTTCTCACTTGTATGTGTGTTTAATATCTCTATGCTGTCAATTCTTTCAATTTTATGTTCACTGACAGTTCCATATCAAAAAACTTTTCTTTTGCATGTGAGACAGGAGTGAAAGTCTGACTGCAGAGAGCCGGCTAGTCCATGCAAGTCCAAATTATAGACTGATCAAATCGAGGAGTGAATCTGATTTGTCGCAGCCTGAATCAGATGAAGAGAGTTATGCACTGGTAGGTATAGATTAAGTGAAGAAGGATTTTTGTTTTCAATGTATAGTTCCCCAAGGAATTTTTTAAAGATTAATTTGTGTTTATATTAGATATATAAAAAGTTTTTTTAAAAAAGTTTAATAGAAATGTGATTAACTATATTGCATAAATATTTTCCACCTATATATTAATCATTTTTGTCTTTAGTCCTGACTTCTTAAGACTTTCCTTAGCTCTAGGCTCATACATTTGACTTTGATGGGCATTCCACTGAATGTATCAGGCTACCTCAACTTACCCTGTTCAAAAGTGAATTCATCTTTTTTGCAAAGCTGCCTCTCTCACATTCCCTATTTTACTAGTTGATACTGCTTATTACCTAGGCCGGAAATCTGGGATCATCCTTGACTCTTCTTTTTCATATCTCTTTTTTTTTTTTTTTAAAGAGAGAGAATTTTTTATTGTTTATTTTTTAGTTTTCGGTGGACACAACATCTTTGTTTGTACGTGGTGCTGAGGATCGAACCCGGGCCACACGCATGCCAGGAGAGCGCGCTACCACTTGAGCCACATCCCCAGCCCTTTTTCATATCTCTTGATCTTATCATTCCCAGCTTCCAACTCAGAGTAGTCTTGAAAAATTTACCCTTAATATTTCCAGTAATGTCCTCTTCTTCCCTCTTAGCACTGCTCTGTCTCAAAGTTTTTTTATTTTTTATTTTTATTTTTTTTTGGTGGACATGTGCAGAAGACTCTAAATTGGTTGCCTACCTCTTGTCTTGTGTTCCTCTTCCACATTTCACTATAATAATATATTTAATAAGAAAATCTGTTTATAACTCCTCTACTTAAATTTTTTTTTGGTGGATATCAGCTGCTTATCAGAAAAGCTTCTGGACATGAACTAAATTAATTAATATTAATTTAGATTAATATTAATCAAGTAACATGTTGATTTACATAAAAGGTGGGAAGTAGGATAAAGATATGCTAAAATGTGACTGATTAAATAATAAAGTGAAACTTTTAAAAATTGCTTACATTTAAGGAGCTTTGGACTTGGAGTTGATAGCTGGATTTTCATTTGTCTGCCTTATGTGTGATTTTCTATGTGCTGTGACCTTTCTGGATTTTAATGTCTTGAAGATATTAGTGTGTGTTATATATTATGACAATGTGTCTTAATCAAAGAGTCCTTATATGAAGACAATTGAAGAGTGTATTCAAGCAAGTTTCATTTTTATTATGATGTTATTTGTCATCCCCATGATATCTCTGTGTACCCACTTTGTATTCCTTGTCTTGTGATATAGTGAGATTCTTCATCTTTCATTTATTTTTCCAATCTTGTCAATCTCGTTATTGAGTCACCCATTCTTGTGTGTATTTTAAAACATAGATCATATCATTTCTCTGATCAAAATTCTGCAATGTCTTCACTTTTTCTTAGAGTATAAATCCAAGTCCTTACAGGGTCCTACAAGGCTCTGTGTGATCTGACCCCACTACCTCTGATCTTCTCTTTGGCTTCCCTCTTTCTTGATGACTCTCCTTCTGCCACTTGGACTCTTGGACATTCCATGAACATATTGTACAAGTTTCTCTTTTGTGTCTTTATGTGACTTTTGTCTTCTGGCTGGAAATATTGTCTGTGCAGCTAATTCTCTTGCTTTCTTCTTAATGTTATTCTTCAGTGCAGCTTACCCTATTTAAAATGGTAGTTTTCCCTCCCTTTCATATACTTACTCCCTGTCTCCCTTGTCTTTCTCAGTTTTTACTTTTTATATTCATTGAGCAGTTTCTGTTAGCCTACACTAGGATATAAGCTCTTCAAGGATGGACTTTTTTTTTTTTTTTCAGTTTTATTTGCTGCTGGATCCCAACCATCTGCAATAGTGCCTGACACATAGTAGGGAGTTAGGAAATAGTCTTTGAATTTATGAATTATGTACTAATCTGTTTTGGCAAATTTCTATGTCCATTAAATCTTTTGTCTTCATTATTTCAGGTTCTTTTTACCCTTTTTCTGACTAGGAGTTCTCACACTGATCTTGCTTTTTCTAGTCTTTCCTTAGACACTGCTACCTAAGATAAGAGTTTTTGAAAACACATACCACCAGCAACAGCAGCAGAACCCCTACTTGTGTACCATCTTTCTACTCAAACTTTCAGTGACTCTGTACTATCTACCTAGAAATCAGAGATTCTGGAAACACCATCTGCTTTCTTTTGGAGCCAGTTTTACCCTGTAGTAATCTGCACTTTTGCCACAACAATTCATCTGCCAGACCCCAAATGTATCTCTTGAGCCTCTGCCCAAGTACCACTTGCCTTAAATGTCTTCTAAGTTTCCTTGTAAAGTCTGCCTCTCACTTAAGGACTGGCTAAAATGTCAACTGGTCAGGAAGCTTTTTCCCAAATTACTCACAGTGACTCTGTAGTACTTCCATGACAGTTTGTTAGGACCTCTAATAAGCCATTAACAATTTTCTCATGTAGGACTTACTTATAGAGTATTAATAAACCCTCTAGAAGGACTAGGGTTTTTTTATGTTTTATGTTTTGCCTTTGTTATTTCCTACATTGTGCTTTACATATTATACATGATCATTAGTTTATTTGAACTGAAATGAAAAATAAAGGAGAATGGGTATAGTTGAAGTGATATGCTTTTTGGAAACAAACAATGAAATCTGACTTAAAATAGACTATGTAGGCTGGGGTTGTAGCTCAGTGGTAGAGCACTTGCCTACCATGCATGAGATCCTGGGTTTGCTCTCAGCACCACATAAAGATAAATAAATAAAATAAAGGTATTAAAAAAATAGACCATGCTATGGACTTTGACCTTGGCAAGACATTTAACATTTGAGTTTCTTTATCTTTGAAAGGTGGAATAGTACCATCTGGTATACTTGCCTCAACTGTGCTGTTATGAAGAATAAGTTCAGTAATACAATTTAAACATTTTAAAATTTTAAATTAGGGAAGAAATATCAACGTAGGAGGCTTGAGCTAGATTTAACTGCTGATTGTTCTTTAGGTTTTTTTTTGTTGTTCATTTAGTTTTTTTAAAAACTTTCAAAATGATTAATAACCATATTTTAAAAAAAGATTGATTTGGGCTGGGGATATAGCTCAGTTGGTAGAGTGGTTGCCTCGAATGCACAAGGCCCTGGGTTCAGTCCCCAGCACTGTGTGTGTGGGTGTGCGTGCGTGCGTGTGCACACACACACACACACATACACACACAGATTAATTTGTGAATGGAATAATTAAAAAATGAATACCACAGAAATGAAAAAAGTCAAGAACTAGAGGGAGAACAGATTCCACTGCAGATAAAGGGATATCTGGGCTGAATTCAGCTTCCAAAAGGCTGGGGAAGATGAGTAGAGCAAGCACTAAGGGCACGATATATATTATCCTTCTAATACTATAGAAGGTTTTGTAAGATTAACATTTTTATTTTTGATAACCAGTTTACTGTTAGCCAGTACCTTGTTTACTCTGAATTGTTAGTGAATGAAATGATTTTTTAAATGACTGAAGTTAAGCAGTTCAATGCTGAAACTGCATTAACTTTCTTTTCTAAATTGTATTATATAAATTATCTATTTTCCTTAGTAAATAGAGAATATCAAACCATTTGATTGACAGAGATCATTCTTATCATCGTTTCTTATTATACCATCTAATCTGTTACCTAAGTCCCTCATGTCTCAAAGGATTTGATTTATCATATAAGAGCTGGGCATGGTGACAATTATCTGTAATCCCAGGAACTCTGGAGGCTGAGACAGGAGACTTACAAGTTTGAGGCCAGCCTCAGCAGATTATCAAGGACCTCAGCAATTTAGTGAGACTCTTTCTCAAAATAAAGAATGAAAAGGCCTGGGGATTTAGCTCAATAGTAAAGTGTCCCTGGGTTCAATCTCCAGTACCAAAAAAAGAAGGGGGAAAAGAAAAAGAAGAAGCATATAAGAAATATTTTATAAAAGGATAAATTAGGTGAATAAATTAGGGCTTTAAAATAAAAAAGGCTAGCCAGAAAAAAAAAATAAAGGCCTAGATAAGATTTGCATATTTCAGCACACATGGTATGGTGTTCTGCTCAAGGTATGCTTCCAAACAACAAAAAAAAACATAACATGGTAAATGATCCACACTGTCTAAAAGGTAAAAACAACCCACTTGTTCAAGAGAAACAGTTATTTCTGGTTTTGAGGCCCAGGCTTGAGTTCTTCTAGAGCAAAGGTACTATGTGAGGAAAATATTTTATTTCATGACACCATGATGCCTTCAGGAGCTATTTGGTTTATCCACCATGAAATGAGAATATGTTTATTTCTGTTGGTGTATATGTAGACATGTGAGTAATAACAAAATGTGTTTTATCTACACATGGGATACATGTATCTGTATGTATGACAAGTGAAGATTTCCTATAATGAAATTTCCCAAATGGATCTGTTTTGTCACTTCTATAGATTTACTTCTTTGACACCAACTTTTCTGATTGTGTGAGAGTACAATTAAAATTGCTGAGATCATAATGTCAGATGCATAAACTTACACATATATTTGATTAGCTAAGTATGTGGACAGAGTAGACAGATGTTTTACATCCTCCACCACCAGGCACACAGAAATATACTTCTTCCTGAAAGCTTTTACTGTTGTATTAAGCTGTCAGCATTTTCACCAATTTGAGATTTTTTTATTTTAATAGGTTTAAAAAAATATTTTAAAATCTTCTAAAATACTACCAGATGCTTAGGACTATGCATTTTTTATGTTAGTATGGATTAATCAGATAGTCTTTAAAAACATAGCCAAGACTAATGAAAGTTTTAAAAAGAAAGGAAAGAGAAGGAAAGTATAATTTTATAGAAAGGTTTTGCTGTAGGGACTTTAGGTTACTAGAGAGTATTAATAAGATGATAACAATGACTGAAAGAGGAAAGACAAAGATTCCAAAAAACTGTAACAACAGAAAAACTTCTGCTAATTAATATGCCCCTTGATTTTTTTTTGAGTTAGTATCTGAGATATTATGTGCTTGTGCTTTCTTACAGCTGATTATGGTGGGTATTTAGAGAACTTCTGTTAGTCTGACTTGATTTGTGAATAATTGAACATTGCTATAATTATATATGTAGGTGTAACACATACGTATGTATTATTCTCGTAATTTATTAAATCTTAAAATGCTTTTCACACCTAAAATATATTTATTTTTTATTTTTAATAGAGTGGCAGACGAAATGTTGATTTGGATTTGGCATCATCTCATAGAAAAAGAGGTAAGCATTAAGAAAAAACCATTAAAATCTGATTAAAGTAGATGGCTGTTTTTATATCTGATGTATTTAGATTTAATTGTCCTTGAAATGTAATTGCCAAAAAATAATTTAGAATCATTTTTTCAGAAGAGTTAAAATGAAGACCATTTTCTTTAAATATATGTCCTTCTAACATCTTCATGCACTTTTCAAAAAAAATGCACTTTTAAAAAGTCCTTAGGAATTCCATAAACAGCATTCCATTGCAGGGAGAGGATAGTATGTACACAATTTCACATGTTTTAACTTAGTGATAGAGTTTGTATAGCTTAATTTTTAATATTTTTATTGGTGCATTATAATTATACATAATAGTGGCATTTGTTGTTACATATTCATACTTGCACACGATAGAACAATATAATTTGTTCAGTATTGCTGTAATTTAAATGGTGTTACAGGACTACTCTTTGCCCCTTTCACAATGCAAACAGAAAGTTTCTAGTTTTTTCTCTTTTGGCTTCTTAATTTAAAGCATATAATAGATTAACTGATGATTCAAAAAAAAGAAAGTAACTTTACCACAAGGAACAACTTTTAGTGTTATCAAGAAGAAATTCTTATCTTGATGACATTGTTAACTCATATAAGCAAATAGAGCAAAAGAACAGAGTTTTAGATAATATAAATCTGAGGATAACTAAAAGCTCTCTTAAGTATTATTTTCTGTTATCTATGACTCTTACTTAAAATTGTTTATACTGTGGTTGTGAAAATGTGAAATGTTAAAATTTGCCACAAGTGGCAGTTTTCTAAAAGCTAATGAAGAAAACATGTTTTCCATGATATTAAATAATTTGTGTTTCAAAATGAAATCTTCTTGATAGTTTCCCTGGCACGTTGTTAGGTTTCTTCCCCATAGTGATGGGGGGAGGGGGGAAGAAAAGTAAAAGAGAAATGAAGGAAAACTGAGGAATGAGGGAAAGAAACTAATGATTTTCTTCTCTTTTGTATATGTAACTTAGAAGAAGAGATGCTACTTCTGTAGACTAAAATTGGGCAATATTTTATATTTAATTCCAACTATAATACAGAGAATGATTTTTCTAAAATGTTGGGAATAGTAAGAATCAAAGCTGTTTTTAGTCTTTTTGAGATTGTAACATATTAAATAAAGCTCCTGGGTTTCTAAAAAAGATCACAAAGTATTTTTTAAAAAAATTTTAATATTTATTTATTTTTTAGATGTAGACGGACACAACACAATGCCTCTATTTTTATGTGGTGCTGAGGATCGAACCCGGGTCTTGCCTGTGCTAGGCGAGCGCTCTACTGCTGAGTCACAATCCCAGCCCACAAAGTATTTTTAATTACAGAGAAATTATATTAATGTAACATACAATACCCACTTTATTATTTTTTTAACTATGAAAATTGACAGTTCACTTGATTTGGGAATTAAATTTTTGAAACAACCTTTTCTAATTTAGTTTAGCTCAGGTGACTGTTGCTAAAAATTCCATGTTAGTTATAAATGCATACCATTTGATAGTAGAGAGAAAATGGTTGCAGACTTGCTAACTACCATAAGGGATCTAACCTGTAATTTAATAAGAGTGCCCTATAAGTAGAAGTCTATGGGCTGCAATTATTCTTTGTTCTTGAACCTTTATAATGATTTATAATGATTATGGAAATATAAATTTGAGATTTAATCCCTGTTAACCGTATTGGCATGTAGCAACATGATATCTTTTGAATAAGCAAATTGGCATCTTTTTAAAAAATGTTTTTTGGGCTGAGGATGTGGCTCAAGCGGTAGCGTGCTCGTCCGGCATGTATGCGGCCCGGGTTCGATCCTCAACACCACATACAAACAAAGATGTTATGTCCGCTGAAAACTAAAAAATAAATATTAAAAATTCTCTGGAAAAAAAATAAATGAATAAAAAATGTTTTTTTGTTGTAGAATACTATTATTTAAAAAAAATTTTTTATGTAGCACTGGTGAGGATTGAACCCAGTGCTTCACTTGTGCTAGGCAAGTGCTCTGCCTCTGAGCTATAGCCCTAGGCCCTGCAAAGTGGCATCTTTATCTTCAGAGTAGCCTAAGTAATTTGAGTGTGGATAACTTAGAAGGAGGGAATATAACATTTTAAACTACTGTCCTAGAGTTTCTGCCTGTTCACATCTCTGAACAATTATCCTAAAACTAGGTATAACCTCATTGTAGTTCTAAATAGATATACATAAATTAAGTCATTAATTTCATTAATTCATTTAATTAAGTCCATCTTCTTCACAAAGCTCAAGGTGGTATTAGTACCTATTAACCTGTTGGAATTTGATTTTATTTTGCTGAAAACAAAAAAGCAAATAGAGGACCTCATGGAAAGGTTTTGTTTAGTTTCTCTTAAATACCCATTTAGAAAGTTACAATGGAGAGGCTACTGTATATTTTCACTGTATCACTTAATGTAATACCAATTTATTATAATAATCATCCCATTTTAATATTCCTCCAGAAAAATTTTGCTGATGATTTTGATCTAAGGACAGGTAAAAGTAGAAGCGCTATTTTAGGAAGGTTAATAAAAATAGTTACTTTTCAATTTTATAGAACCCTAGAATTTATAGATTAAACAATGAAAATCTACACTATACCTTTTCTTTTTCTTATTATAATGAATTTCTTTTTTTAATGTTTATTTTTTAGTTTTAGATGAACTCAATATCTTTATTTTATTTTTATGTTGTGCTGAGGATCGAACCCAGTGCCTCATGCATGCCAGGCAAGTGCACTATCACTTGAGCCATATCTCCAGCCTCAAATTTTTTTGTTGTTATTGAAGACCTTTATTTTATTTATTTATTATATGTGGTACTGAGAATTGAACCCAGTGCTGCCGCAGTCTGGCTGGACACAAAATCACGAGCCACTCACAGCCTTATAGATTCAAACAGCAATTCTTTATTCCCAAACTCTCACCAGCATTCTACATGCACGTTCTGGGGAAATCCACACGCACTTTGCATCCCAAATACTCTGTGAATCCCAAGAGAACTCAAGGAGCGGGCGGGCAGGCGCCTGAGGTAGCAGGATACTCCCTATTCTCAGCAGGATACACCCTAAACCTGGACCCACCCTAATCCAGCAGGATCCTCCCTAAACCCGGATCCACCCTGGTCCTTGAGCAGGGTCACCTTACTCAAACAAGCCCATTTCCACAGTGGAGAGTCCTCCCTCTAAGCAACACGGGGTAGGCTGACAAGGAAATTGCCATGTGTCATTCTTATTTAGCTATGGCTCTCAGCATAGTGCTTCATACATGCTAAGCAAGTACTCTACCACTGAGCTACAACACCAGTCCTATCATGAATTTTTTTCTTTTAAAAAAACATTGAAAATACATTTAGAAGGCTATACTTTCAAAGGAATTTTTAAAATCTTGTATATTTAATAATTGCCCTTTGGCCACAGTAGTTTGTTTTTGATTTTATGTTTTTCATGTTTGTTTGTTTGTTTTGCTTTAAATGGTGGTAAAATAAATCATTCTATTTTTCTTTGAGCAAATGAACCTTCCAAGTCTTAAAACTGGGGCCAAATTGTTAGGTGTTCTAATTCTTATGTGAGCCATGAAGGACAGATAACTGGCCAAGTGAGAATTCTTTCAATATTTTGAGGAAGAAATGTACAATTTTTCTTCACATAACTTCTGTATTTATTAATTTCAGTGGTCCCAACTTAACTAAAAGACTGATAAAAGGAATAGGAGAGAGATGACAAGGTTTAATTGTATGTTGTTTACTGAAATTCAATGGGTATAGTGCTTATATGAATGTTTTCAGCTGCTTTTATCATGCCTCTAGAAAACTCCTTGAAAGGATATATGGACATTCTCAGTACTTGGCATTGGAGATACTAAAATTTGTGTTATTAATCCATGATTACCTCCTTTTTTACCTCTTACTCCAGCTAGTTTATCATCCAAGAAAGCAAATGTGGTAGAAAGCAGCAGAGCAGTGTGAGCAAATACTTTCAGCTTGGTGACCTTGATCAGCTTTTTAGAGGCATCAACACTAAATTCTAGGCCAGGTGCCCATAGTTCCAGCTATCTGAGACAGGAGGATGGCTTGAAGCCCAGGAGTTTCAGACCAATGAGGACAATTTAATTTCATAAAAGCTATTAATGTTATTGAAAAAATTTGACAAATTATGTTGGTATTTGGTAATCTAATAAATACTTAAGAGAATTACTGCTGTTGAGCAAAACTGAGTTGCTTCTTCACAGAAAGACAGTACCTTTTTGCAGATACTTGATTTTAGTTTTCATACTTAAGCTGATGCTATGAAATGAAAAATGCTGGGATATCAAAGCAATAATTTAAACATTGTTAGAAATCTTCTAAGTTAAAGTATGGTTTGATTTTCCCCCAGGTCTTTAAATATATAAATATAATAGTGTTAAGATTTTATTGCTGAAATAATACTAGAAACGTTTATCAACTTGCGTGTTTCATGGTAAAAACATTTATGGGTGAAATGCTGTTTTATCTGTGCATTTCAAATTAGATTATCTAAAGAAGAGCAAATGTAAATATTATCTCCTGTATCAAATTTCTCCTTTTGTTTTCTGATTCTTGTATGGTAGTGTATTTACTCCTTTTTGGCCAGTTGAGCCCCAGAAAAAAGAAGATCTTCAAGCAAGTACATGATGGCATGTTTAATTTTTTTCCCCTTTTAGCTTGCCTACATATTTTATGATTTATAAAGTATGTATTGCAGCTCTGCCATGTTCATTTTGAAAATTCCATTTAAGAACCAAAGTTGTAAGGACAAGTAAACAATCTAAAAAATTTCTTGTTGGACCTCATATATTTTCATGTAGACTCTGAATTAATATTAAGTAAGAATTGGGCTTAGTCTCAATTACTGTGTAGAAGTTTTTGATATGCTTTCAGATATAATATTTTCTGTATTCAGATAAAACAGTAAATTACTACATTATTATGCTTTTTTAAAGATTAAAATTCTTTACCATTTCCATGCCTCTAAATTTTTGTGTTTCAGAGTATTTTCAATGTCAGACTCAATATTTTGGTGAGAATTGTTTTCTTTATCCTAATGCTTTTTTTATGGTGTCTTTCCTGTTCTTTCTTATATTTTATTCACACTGTGCTTTACTTGAGTTATACACCTAATTAATTTTATTCTCTGAATTAGGGGCCGGCAAACTATAGCTAGTAGATCAAGTCTGGCCTTTCACCTGTTTTTGTAATCCAGGGGCATATGATAGTCATTTGTTTATGTGTTATCTGTGATTGCTTTCACATTGCAAGGGCAGAGTTGAATAGTTAAGGCAGAGACCTTTGTGAGCCCACAAAGCCTAAAATGTTTAATATCTGACCTCTTACAGAAAAAGTTTGCTGACCCCTGTTTTAAAGTGCAGAGAAGATTTAGTTTGGGGTACAGTCAGCTATTCCATAGAATGTTTTGGTATATACAAAAGCAATACACTATTGGTAGATCCATTGAACCTTTATGGAGCTAAGCAGTTAGAGTTTTCATGGATGAGTGAGTTGGTTAATAATAGGAATATAAGTCAGGCACAGTGGTGCATGCCTATAATTCCAGCTATTCAGGAGGCTGAGGCAGGAGAATCTCAAGTTCAAGTACAGGAAGCAACTTAGTGAGACCCTATATCCAAAAATGGCCAGGGAGGGGGGTTCCAGGACATAGCTCCTGGTAGAGTTCCCCTAGGTTGAATTCCTAGTTGAATACCTTGAAAACAAAACCCCCAAGAATATAAAAAATAGTCTTTCATAGAATTAATAAATTAGTGTTATCAGAAGATCAGTTTCTTTTAGCCTGTGTCCTTGATTGAGAAAACTTGACTAGATAATCTTTAAAAGGTATCTTTTACTTTTGTGGTTCTAATGTTAGCTCAAATGTTAGCTCATTGTACATTGTTTTTGTTTTGAAAAGTATCTTGTAAATATTGGAAAACAAAAAAAGGTTTTATTCTGAAATTTGTTACTTAATAAAACAAGCTCATTGCAGGGACCCCAAACTGTCCTTTGTAAACTAAGGCCAAATATTGCATTTGAATTTGGGAAACTTAAAAAAAGTGAAAACAAGTATTTTTTTTTTAAATTAGCCTCTGCTTTACTTAAAAATATTTTAATATTATACCTCTGACATTATTGTTTGTATTTTTATTCCTTTCTATGTTATATAAAAAACTTTTCAACACATGTAATTTGGAAAAATTTTCAGATTGTTATTTTTATGTTCAGTAAAACTGAAAATTAAACATTTTTTTTAATCTTAAGAATTCTTGCTAAAACAAAGAAGGCAGTAAAACCATATTTTCTTTTCCAGTCTAAATAATCTAAATAATTCTGCTATGATATATATAATAGTTGCTTCATAATATTAGCTCCCTATTAGGATTTTCTGTGTCTGATATTGAAGTTCCAAGATTTAATGGATGACAATACAGTAATTCAAAAATAATATTGTACATTCAATATTGTGTAACTTTATTTTCTCTCTGGGCATTAATGTGTTTAAGTAGTCATCTTTCTAAAGTTTTGCATCTAGTATTGTAACAAACATAATTTTTGTCATAAATATTTTATTGGGTGCTTAAAAGTGAATTCCTAATAAAGAAATATAGTATATTCACATAATAGGATATTATGTTCAAACAGATGAAAACTGACTAGAGTAATTTAGATGAATGTTAGCAATATTATATTGAATGAAAAGATTATGTCCAAAAAGATTACATAAAATGATACCTTAGGGTTTTTTTTTTAGCAAGGAAAAAACAACTAAAAGTAAATACTCATCTTAGAAGCACATAAAATAAAATTCAAAACAGTAAAAGCAAGAGAATGATAAACCTAGGCTTAAAGGAAAAAAATAAGGAGGAGAAGTTTTTTGGAGAAGAAACAGATACAAGTTACTGTCAGTTTTCTAGTTATTATGTTCTCAAGTGTTATACATAAATATATAAGTACAAAAGTGGGCCATGCATGGACCAATGATGAGAGTATCTAATGAATCAAAGATTATGATTAATCAAATTCACGTACCTGAGATTAATTAAAGACAAAGGTATACAAGAATTGGACATTTGTACATATTTATTTAAAACAAATTTTAGCATATGACTTAGACAGTTGCTCTTGTGCTCAAACATGTTAACATTTTGATGTCTAATGTAAAGATTTTAGCTTTAAAAATGCCCATTAGCAGAACTATGGTATTATATTTAGCAACTATTATGATGCCATTTGGTAGTTTTATATAGGTATCATGTGATAGTAAATCTCATGTATTCTTGTTTGTGAAACTTTCCTTCCTCTATATAGAAGTTTCACAACTTGCACTTGACTAGTTAGTGAGAGTGTCAATTATGTTAACGAAACCTAAAGGGTTGATGTTTATATCTCCCTGTTGTGTAAGTTTACTTGCCCTTCTGTATTCGTTTTTTGGTAATGTTTCATTGCAGATATGTAAATATTTTGTGCAGTCTTAACTTTTGCAATGATAATGTTAATTAGATGAAATCCTGTTTCAAATAGGTTTTATCAGCAGTGTCCTAAGTGCATAGTTCCTGATCTGGTTTAATACTGCAGAGCCTTTTAAGTTAAGCATTTTGAGAGCAGCTTCTGCCTTTCTTTTTCTTGTAACAGCGTGTTGCTAAAGCGCTTTTAGAAATCCTAGTACATCAACAGGGCTTTCCCTTTATTTTCTTACATTGCTCTAGTTTTTGTTTGTTTTTTTTTTTTTTAAACCAAAGCATTTTGCTCAGATTCATTTAATGCATGCAAGTATTCAAACATGAGTATTCATTTCTCACCAGTTGGTATGGTAGTAGCACTCAGCCCTCATCTAGTTTCAGAATGTATGCTTTACTTGAGTGCCATTGACGCATGTTTGTTGTTTGTTTATAGGTCCTATGCATAGTCAATTGGAATCCCTGAGCGACTCTTGGGCCCGCCTGAAACACAGCAGAGACTGGTTGTATAACTCCTCTTACTCCTTCGAGTCTGATTTTGACCTTACCAAGTCTTTGGGAGTTCACACATTGATTGAAAATGTTGTAAGCTTTGTGAGTGGAGATGTGGGGAATGCCCCAGGTTTTAAAGAGCCAGAGGAAAGTATGTCTACAAGTCCTCAGGCCTCCATCATTGCAATGGAACAACAGCAGTTAAGGGCGGAAGTAAGTCTTTGATATTTACTCTTCATTAGAGACTCTGGAAACTTACTGAACCACTAAGTGTACACTTCTAGGAAAAACTTTTCTTCTTCTATTTCTACCTGTCCCTTTCATTCACCTGAGATTTTTCTTTTTAAAATAATACTGGGGATTGAACATAGGGGCACTGTATTCCTAAACTATTTCACAGCCTTTTTTATTATTTATTTTAAGATAGAATCTTTGAAGTTGCTAAGGCTGGCCTCAACCTTGTTATTCTTGTACCTCAGCCTCCCAATTGCTGGGATTATAAATATATCCCACCATGCCCAATGTCTCATCTGAGCCTTTTGACATCCTTTCTCAACTTAAAAAAAAAAAACAAAAACCAAAAAACAAACAAACAAAAAAACCCAAAACCAATATTTTCTTTGAATTGGACAAAAGTGCATTTTTTTAAGTTGTCATTTCCTAGAATAAGATACTGTAATCATAAGTCTTCACTGGTCTCCTAGAAATTAGGATTAAATTGGCTGGTGACCATAGGGACCTGCCACTCATAGATTCCATTTTTGACCCATTTGTTCCCATTTAAACTAGACCTCTAGTTTATATTAGAACCCCATAATAATTGTTATAGGCAAAATCCACTGGTAACTGGTAAAATTAGTGAGGAAAATTTGAAGGAGACACAGAATGTTTGCGTAGATAAAAAAATTATTCCCTCACACAAATATTTATTAATTTTTGTGGTTTTGACTGACCACAGATTCTTGATATTCCTTCCTCAACTAGATAGAGATTAATTCCCTCAACCCCATGCTCGAGGGTAGGCTGGACTTAGTGACTTTTTTCTAACAAAAAGTGTGGGAAAAGAAACAAATAACTTTATATTGCAGAAACCTGGAAGATATCTCCTTAACTAAGTAATCAAGATTAACATCTCCAAGCCTTGATGTGGTGGCACACACCTGTAATCCCTGCAACTCAGGAGGCTGAGGCAAAAGGATTACAAATTTGAGGCCAGCCTCAACAACTTACCTTTAAGCAACTTAGTGAGAACCTATCTCAAAATAAAAATAAAAGGTCTGGGAATGTGGCTCAGTGGGAGAGCACCCCTGGGTTCAATCCAAACCCTCCCCAAATATTATTAACAGGAGAAATAAGTCTTATTGCTATCATGTACCCTTAATATAAAATGAGAACATTTTAACTCTATGGTTTTCTTACCCCACATCCCTAACTGTAGTCTAATCATGAATGAAAAATGAGGGAAAGCTAAATTTAGGGTCATTCTATAAGATACAGGAACAGTACTTCCAAACTGTCAAGTTCATGAAAAATAAGGAGAAAAAAGTGTGGGGAAAAAAGTGTGTCACAGACTAATGGAATCTTAAGAGGACATGACAACCAAGTGTAATGTGGTATTCAGATTGGATTCTGGAAAAGAAAAGTGGCATTAGGGGAATGAAGTCTAAATAAAGTCTGTACTTTAATTAATAGTATTATACCAATATTAATTTTGAACTTTTGACAAATGTACCAAAGTTATATAGAGTATTAGAAATAGGGAAGCAAGGGGAAGGATATACAGGAATTCCGTGTACCATCCTTATGACTCTTGCAAATCTAAAGTTATTTCAAAATAGAGTTTTAAATTTTCTTTTAAGAAGTGGAATAGGCTGATTGATTACTGTGGTGGATAGTCCAGTACAATGTAGGAAAGATAGAGGCAGAAGTTCAAGAGAACCACAGAGAAATCATTCAGAAACACTTCTAATTCTTGAGTTGAGGAAATAGTCATTCTGATTAACCTTGTTATTATCTACTTTACCTATTCTAATAATACTACCTTAAAGTTTTGAAACCTGGGTTTAATCCTTGCACCAAAATAACCAACCAACCACCCAAATCTACTACTCTTATAGTCTCTTTTATACTGAAGTGTGTTTATAGAGATTTTAGAGATATCTTAATTAAAGAAAAAACCAACAATAATAAATGGAATAATAATAATAAATAATTATTATTCCTAGGAAATGTCAGACTTTTCTTTGCTAAATAATATGTTGTCAATGGCAAACAATTTTTTTTTTATGTCTGAATTCAAGAAAAATCTCTAAAATATATTCTTTTCCTCAAGCTTCGTTTGGAGGCACTTCACCAGATCCTTGTTCTGTTGTCTGGGATGGAGGAAAAAGGTAGCATCTCACTGGTAGGAAGCAGGTCGAATTCAGGCTTTCAGTCGTCCACACTGCTCACATCTGTGAGATTACAGTTTCTAGCAGGGTGTTTTGGTTTAGGCACTGTTGGACACACAGGAGCCAAAGGAGAAAGTGGCCGCTTGCATCACTATCAGGTAGGTAACCCTTTAACAGTGTATTCAAATTTTAATTATCTTTTTATGAAGCCAATTTAATAATGTGAAACTTTGTGGTGTTTATAATTGAGATTTTAAAAATATCTTTTAAATTTTTAAAATATCCCATTGGTTTAAGTAGTGTGTTTGGGATTAAGTGAGCCATATTACTGTTGTACTTTCGGGTTCTTTCTCGGTTCAGTTTCATAAATCTTTTTTTTAATTTATTTTTTATTAGTTGTTCAAAACATTACATAGCTCTTGACATATCATATTTCATACATTTGATTCAAGTGGGTTATGAACAACTAGATCTAAGTTGAGATAGAAGTTAGAGTTTGGGAAGATGGGTTTCAGTAGTTTACATTTTAGATCTGATTATTTTACCTAGTTTCTCTGATTCCTTTTATAGTTTTTAAAAATGTAATCTTTATGTCATATTTAGAGGGGAAATTACTTTATGGGAGAGGAGAAGGATTATACAGAATCAAGAATTAGCAAGCACTGCCAGGTATGGTGGTGCATGCCTGTAATTTCAGTGACTCAGGCAACTGAGCCAAGAGGATTGCAAATTTGAGGCTAGTCTCAGCAACTCAGAAAGGCTCTAAGTGAAAAATAAAAAGGGCTGGAGTTGTGGCTCAGTGGTTAAGTGCCCTCAGATTCAATCCCTGGTACCCTTTCCTCACCAAGAAAAAAGAATTAGCAAGCATATAAAATTTGATTTAGGGCTAGGTTGTAGCTCAGTGGTAGAGCCCTTGCCTTGCAGGCATGGGAACACTGGGTTCAATCCTCAGCATCACATAAAAATAAATAACTAAAAGATATTGTGTCCATCTACAACTAAAAAAAATTTTTAAATTCAATTTATTATAAATCTTTCATATGCTGAAAGTACTTAGAACCACTATAGGGGGACTGGGGTTGTGGCTCATGAAAGAGTGCTTGCCTAGCATGCGTGAGGCACTGGGATCCATCCTCAGCATCACATTAAAAACTAAATAGGGCTGGGGTTGTGGCTTAGTGGTAGAGCACTTGCCTTGCATGTGCACGACCATGGGTTTGATCCTTAGCACCACATAAAAATACATAAAATAAAGGTTTTGTGTCCAACTACAATTAAAAAAGAAATATTTTTAAAAAACTAAATAAACAAAATAAAGGTATACACAATGGAATATTACTCAACATTAAAAGAGAATAAAATAATGGCATTTGCAGGTAAATGGATGGAATTAGATAATATAATGCTAAGTGAAGTAAGCCAATCCCCAAAAACCAAATGCTGAATGTTTTCTCTGATATAAGGATGCTGATTCACAATGAGGATGTGTGGGGGAGCATGGGAGGAATAGGCAAACTCTAGATAGGGCAAAGAGGAGGGAGGGGAAGGGAGGGAGGATGGGAGTAGGAAAGATGGTGGAATGAGATGGACATCATTACCCTAAGTACACATATGAAGACATGAATGGTGTCACTCTATGTTGTGTACAACCAGAGATATGAAAAATTGTGCTCTATATGTGTAATATGAATCGAAATACTTTCTGCTGTATAACAAATGAGAATAAATTAAAAAGAAAACCACTATAGGGCCCTGGAATAGACCTGGAATAAACATTATTACTTCTTGATGCAAAAAGCTATTATTGTGAGTATAAAACATGAATCTTTATATGTAATTCAGGATGGGATCAGAGCAGCTAAGAGAAATATTCAAATTGAAATCCAGGTGGCTGTGCATAAGATTTATCAACAGTTGTCTGCTACCCTGGAGAGAGCCTTGCAAGCAAATAAGCATCACATTGGTAAGTTAAATATAAGATGCAAGAATGCATTTTGGCCTGAGGTATGGTAGGTAGTTATGGTCTATATTTTATGTTTAATATTAGTAGGCTGACATTAAAAAATGAATATTTGAAAATGTAATGGTATTTTTTATTAGTATTTACATTTGGAAAAAAATCATTTTAATAAATGCTTTGTTTACTTCAAAGGAGATTCTTAACTATCTCTCTCTCATTCTTTTTTAGAAGCCCAACAGCGTCTCCTTTTAGTTACAGTATTTGCCTTGAGCGTTCATTATCAACCTGTGGATGTTTCTTTGGCAATTTCCACTGGTCTGCTAAATGTATTATCACAGTTATGTGGCACAGACACCATGTTAGGACAGCCCTTGCAGTTATTGCCAAAGACAGGTGTTTCCCAGCTTAGCACAGCTTTGAAAGTGGCCAGTACAAGGTTGCTCCAAATTCTAGCAATCACTACAGGGTAAGTACTAAAATTTCTTGGTAGTATTACGTGGAGCCTTGTCTTTCCACATTTTTCACAATGTTTGCCATTCTGTGTTCTTACCACTTATTTTTTTATTTCTTGTAGGACCTATGCTGATAAACTAAGTCCCAAGATAGTTCAATCCTTGTTGGATCTACTTTGTAGTCAGTTGAAGAATTTGTTGTCCCAAACTGGTGTACTACTTATGGCCTCTTTTGGAGAAGGGGAAGGAGAAGAGGGTGAAGAAGAAGAAGAAAAAAAAGTTGATTCCAGTGGAGAAACCGAGAAGAAAGATTTCAGAGGTATCATAAGCCTTTTTCTCTGTCATTACTTAACAAATATTAATTGAAACTTCTTTGTGTGCATGTGATAAGAATGTAGACTTCCTTCTATTGTAGGTTATGAAAAGATTTTTATTTGTTCATTTATAAACCCCTTTTCTCTTCAAATATGTATGTTTTAGATGAGCTTTTGATTGAACCTCCTTAGAGTCTATTCACTCTGCTGTTGCAACCTACTGCCTTTACACTAGGTTTAGCCATTCCTTGGCTGTCCAGGCTCAGAATCTAGATTTTTAGTGACCAATTTCCCCCAGGTTAAGTATTGCATAGTGGGAGATGGAGTGGGATTGGGGGTGGAAGGAGGTAGACTCAGATATTTTCTTATCCTTTGACCCTGACATACTCTTTTTCACCATAGTCCTACCCTAAATGGTTCCTTGGAATTAGGGGTTAGATATTGGGTGCTGGGTTAAAATCAGAGATTGTTTTCCCCCCCAGCTTCTCTATTCTCTAATTAATAGAATTCTTCAACATATTTGATTGCTGACATATTATTTACTCACAGTTTTATAGCAAACACTATTTTAGAAGAACTTATAGATGACATACATCATTTATATAACTAAAGGAATAAAGGTCAAAAATTGTCATTTATTAAAAAATGATTGTAAATCTACCATGACTCATTACCATAACAACTCTGGGAGTCCTTAAAATTCTTTTTTTTTTTTTTTTTTTTTTTTTCAAACTGTACTGGAGATTGAACCCAGGGTCTCAAACATGCTAGGAAGAGCTCTACTATGGAGCTATAGCCCCAGTCCTTATTTTATTTTGAGATATTTTAAGATCCCCAGACTGGTTGTGAACTTGTGATCCTTCCTCCTCAGCCTCCTGAGTACCTAGGATTATAGGTATGTGTTACTATTCCTGGCTTTTTTAAGTCCTTTCTAGATTAGGTGGATAGACAGAGGGAAGCAGCCAGTTAGTTAAATGTTCTCTTCCCCAATTCCATCAATTGTCAAATAAGATTAATTATCTCTCTGAAGATTGCTGTGAAGATTCAATAACCTAATACATGTAAAGCAGTGTCTGGGACATTGTGAAAGCTCAGTGGATATTAATTTTAATATTGGAATATGATAATAAATAATATTAGAAATTAAATAGAAATGCTATTTAAATCATTAATATTGTTGTTGATTTATGGGCAGATAGAAAGAGGAAATACCCTTGGGTTGCAAAATGATAAAGCCTTAGCTCTGACCTCGTGGACTTTCCAGGGTACAGAGGGAGGCAAGCTTGTAAACAGGTAATTATAGTGTATTACAAGATATTCAAAAGAAATATTTAAATTTCAGAAGTCAGAATGTAGGAGGATATTAAAAGTTAAGGACCAGTTTTTCAGTTTCAAAGGCTAAACCATGGCAAGCTCCTTTTTTTCTGTTGATATACAGTTATAGTCCTTACACAAAGAGCTATAAGAAAGTGAAAGCAAGGTTTTCCTGCCTCTACCTGCTTTCCTGAGATCCAGTGAAGGAGAAAGGGTTGTTAAGATAACAGGTTCTATTTTATTGCTGAGTAATATTCCATTGTGTATATATACCACATTTTCATGTACTGAAGGGCATCTAGGTTGGTTCCACAGTTTAGCTATTGTGCATTGTGCTACAATAAACATCATTACCCTAAGTACATGTATGAAGACACAAATGGTATGAATATACTTTGTATACAACTAGAGATATGAAAAATTGTGTTCTATATGTGTAATATGAATTGTAATACATTCTGCTGTCATATATAACAAATTCGAATAGAAAATTTAAAAAATAATTTTAAAAAACAGGTTCTCACCAGTCTGTGCTGAGTCCTGCACAAGAAAGAAGATATGCAGTCACTTAGCCTATAAAGCCTACATAAAACTGGATCCTTCCATGTCCAGTAAAGAGAGAAACAGTTCTTTTGTGACTGAATCTTAGCGTGTGTGACAGAGTTTGTGTCCCTTTCTCTCAGTTATCCTAGCTAGAAGGTCATTGGATCCTTTCGTATTTATGGAGACAACTAGGTATAAGACTGACTTTAGTCAGCAGGGGCTAGGCATTCAGAGGCAGGCTGCCTAGATATTAATAAGCTCCAATCTTTCTAAATAAAATAATTAAAAGGAAGGTATAGCCTTCATTTAAAATGTTGTATTGACACTGAAATACAAACTATATCAGATTTTATTGACCAGCTTTATATTTAAGGTCTCCAGGCTTACGTTTTATTCCAGAAATACTTTCTGGCAGTAGGAGGTAGAATGCAGACTTCATAAAGGGATTTACCCAGGGCCCTCTGCTGAGAGAGAAGTCTTCATAAAAGAGGTAGCTTTTTAACTGGATCTTGAAGGAATGTATAGGGACAAGCTTGGAGTGAGACATGTGGATAACTGGGGCAGGTTAATACTTTTGTATTTTTCAAACTAATACAAAAAAATATTCACTTAACATTTGGGTAAAGAAGAGGCAGGGTTCTATTTGGAGGAAATATAGAGAAGAGTGTGGGGTTTTTTTCTCTCTAATTATCCTCAGCACTTTATTTCTGTCATAGCCTTGCATACCTACCTCAGCAAAACAAAATTTCTTCTATTAGTTGGATGCATCTTCCCATGAGAGTAGTTTACTTATTTTCTGTTGTCACCATAGCATGCCCCTTGGCAAGAGTCTATCTCCATGACAAGTGACTTGTTCAGTGAGTTCTTTAATTCAGCATGTCAGAATCTTCCTGAAAGTTTTTTATATATAAAGCATATTATACATACTATATGTATATAAGTGATATTTTATATATATTCTTATCTTCAAATTGTTTTAATTTTCCATGTTTTATTATCCCTTGGAGATGGCCATTCTGGTACACTTTTGATTCTATCTCTGTATGAGACTTTGACAGTCTGAGAAAGTGTGAAAAGTGTGTGTGAGATAAGAAAATGTGGTGTGATACAGGAAGGGAAGATAGTTTTCTGTGGCTTCAGAGTGACAAAAGAGAGACTTGCGCTGATACCATGGAGAAACTGAGAAGATTGGTTGTTTAAGGCAAGATTGTGTGAAAGGTCTTATACATAGAGTTTGCTCTCAGGCAAAGTAGACTAAGGCTTAGGGATGTGTTTCTTTGTAGAATTTCAGAACAGAAAATCTTTTTTTAAAGATGTGATAATTTGGTTGGGGAAGGGAAGCAAGGGTTTTTTTGAAAGTGTAATTAAAATTGTGAACTTCCTTCCTAATCCACGCACACACACACACACACACACACACACACATACACACTTTTTCATACAAATTCACAGATCATTGTTCTCAAAATTCCATCTAGCAGAACTCTAGATTTGGGTAGGGAGCCATCGTTTTTTAGAGTACCACTTTTTTAAAAATGGGAAAACAAGTATGTATACACATTCTAGCATGCTCATTCTTTCTGTACACTGATGTAAAAGATATTTCATTTGGCTTTTTTTGTTTTTAAACTTATCTCTATTCTAGTCTTTAAATTTTCAAAAATCATTAGCTTACTGAAAACCTAGATTATGAATCAGATTTTTGCATAGTGCAATACAAATACAAACTCTGTTAGATATCACTAGTTCCTGTTAACTTTTAGTTATGATGTAAACTTGTTTCTTCATTTTCAGCTGCTCTTAGGAAACAACATGCAGCTGAACTCCATCTAGGGGATTTCTTAGTTTTTCTTCGAAGAGTTGTGTCTTCAAAAGCAATTCAATCAAAAATGGCTTCCCCAAAGTGGACAGAGGTGCTTCTAAATATAGCATCTCAGAAGTGTTCTTCAGGTATGTGCCCCCTGGCCTCTATTTTAGAATATTTTTATATATCACATGTATTTTATTAAGAGAATACTAGATTTTAATTTAACAACATTGGACATTCAACCTTGATTTCAGAGCTTTTCTTTTTCATTTGATTGAAAGAAAGCTCCAGTTACAAGTGTAAAAAATGATAGAAAATGAATAATAAAAAGTGACACTGGAGGGGCCTGGGGTTGTGGCTCAGCGGCAGAGCACTTGCCTAGCACATGCGAGGCCCTTGGTTCGATCCTCAGCACCACATAAAAATATATAAATCAAGTGAAAGTATTGTGTCATCTACAATTAAAAAGTGAATAAATATTTTTTTAAAAAGTGGCACCTGAGAAAATTGTGGATTTAATCTAGAAAGCTGATTTTATTTGTGCAGATGGTAAAATATTCTAAAAATAAGTGATGAACATACCGTTTAATATATAATTTGGTATAGGTTCTGATCTCATTTTTTGTATCTGTCCATTTTCTCTTATCATGATGTGATTTCAGTTACCTTGATTATGCCTTATGAATGTTTGATATCTATGATAGTTCTATACAGTAAGTTTAATTACTAGTTCTTAGTCTAAAGTCTGGTCTATGTACATAGATTATTGACAGGCCTTTCCTAATCTGATTTGTTTTTTAATTGTGATAAATATGCATAATATAAAATTTACCATTTTGACTATTTAAATGTACAATTCAGTGACATTAAGTATCTTAGCAATTTTTTACAACTATCACCACTCTTCATTTCCAGAACTTTTTCATGATCTTTAGTGTTTTAAATATGCTAAAACATAACATAACATAATGATGGTCCATAATATGTGTTATTTTGCATGTTTATATTCTCACCATAGATTTTCTTAATTAGTATAACTTACAACAGTTTTTTTCCTTTAGTAAGATGAAGTTTATATTGTAAAATCCTAAAACATAAAACTCATATATTTATTTATTTTAAACTGGTTTTATTATAGTTATGTGAATTGTTTAAAGTACATATTTATGCATCAGTATTCCATCTCTACTTTGGCTATCTTTAGAAAAGTACAAACTGCTTACTCTCCATTAATTCTAGCAATCTCTTTGAAACAGTCAAGGCATGAACCTAGGGAGAGGCAATGGGAGGGTACAAATAAACAAAAATTTTAGAAATTCACAGACATGTTTAAAATTCTGCCTCTACTTGGCAAATTATTACATTCTCTGATCCTATTTCCTCATCAGTAAAATGAGACTACAGGTCAGGGTCCATGAGGATTAATGGAGTAAAAGTGTGTGAAATACATAGTATAGTGCCTGGCATGAGTGGTTATTACAGTGCTTTCCGTGTGTGTGTGTGTGTGTGTGTGTGTGTGTGTGTGTGTAAACATGATATTTATATGCATTAATGGGTATAGTATGGGTTCAGAATTCATGTGATGACAGGTTTAAGTGACGTTCATTCCACTTATAAATGCTTAGCTGTCTCAGGGATTTTTTCCAAGGAGATCATTTTAACTTTGAATTTAAGTCACATTGATAATAAGCAAACATCTTTTTTTCCTCTAGGTATTCCTCTAGTTGGTAACTTAAGAACAAGGCTCCTTGCACTTCATGTTCTTGAAGCTGTGCTACCAGCTTGTGAATCTGGAGTAGAAGATGACCAAATGGCTCAGGTTTCTATTTTTAAAGTTAATAGAAAATATTTTACATATTTGCAACATTATTCACTTCAAATCTAAACTTATATATAGCCTTTCTAGTTATAAATGTGTCATTTATTCAGTAGCATAACTTTCACTTTTAACATTGCTTTCTCTGTTATTTCACTTTTAAGGAAGAGAAAGAGAAATTATGAAGTGTGACAAGTAGAGGGATTAGGAATAACTTTAATATCAAAAGGAAAGGACAGTATGTAGAGTGTCTTACTAGGTTGGGCCTTTAGAGAGCGAAATGTGTGAGGTTGTATAGCTTTATCAGGTGTCCGTACATAATAAGGCAACATAAAGCCTGTGTAAACTACTTTCTAGTGTGTCAATGATCTTTCTAAAAGTATATATTTAACTTATAACCACCAAAAATAGCTGCTAGACATTGATATAATCAAACCAGACATGACTTAATATTATAGTAACATCTGTTCTAAAAATACTTAAAATTACTCTTTATAAATTTCATTATCTTTTTTTCCTTCAATAAAACAGGTAGTTGAGCGCCTGTTTTCCCTTCTATCGGATTGTATGTGGGAGACTCCCATTGCTCAGGCCAAACATGCTATTCAGATAAAGGAAAAAGAACAAGAAATAAAATCACAGGTAAGTGATTCTTTCAAAAAGTTTTTTTTTAGACAGCACAAAGGAATATCCTGTCACCTATCTGTGATGCAGAGTCTTCTATGGGACCTTGCTCTATGGTTATTACATTTTTCTCTTTCTCCATTCTGTCTCCTTCTCTACAAATGGAGAAGGAGACAGAATGGAGAAAGAGAAAATGGCCTATCTTTCATTCCCACCCTCCCAAATCACATTTTTTATCCATGAAGCTTTCTTTATCTTCTTTCTTATCCTTCAGTAGTAAGCTTATGCCACTTCCTTGCTTTTTATCTCTTTTCATCTCTTGTTTATATTGCAACCATATGCAAAGAGTAGATGCTTAATAAATGCTTATTGAATGAATTTAGGCCCTCCCTATTTCTTACCGGAACTCTTGCAGCAATTCCCTGATTATTCTCTTTGCCTTCCTTATATACACCCCTGGTAAAATGATATTGATAAAGTGCTCATCTGATCACAGATCCCTATGTAAGTCATTTGTGCTAGTTCAAACTTAATGTGACTTATAGGGCCTTTCATGATTTTGTTTCTTCTCTTTGTGGGCTTATTTTCTGTCATTCTTGCCCTCTGAACATTCCATTCTGCTTGCAATGATTTTAAATCATTGAATTCTGTGACACCTCCATGCCTTGGCACATGCTATATACACTGCCTGAAGAGCCTTTCTCTTCTTTGGTCATCTGCTTCATGCCTTTTTTTATGGTATTGGGGATTGAACCCTGGGTGCTTTACCACCACCAAGTTACATTCCTAGCCCTATTTAATTTTTTATTGTGAAACAGGGTCTTTGTGGCTTTTGTGGCTCAGTGGTTGAACGCTTGCCTAGCATTGTGCGGGGCGCTGGGTTCGATCCTCAGCACCACATAAAAAGTAAATAAGTAAAATAAAGTTACTGCGTCCAACTACAACTAAAAACATAAAAAAATAAAGTTAAAAAGAAAAAACAGGGTCTTGCTAAATTGCTTAAGGCCTCACGAAATTGCAGAGGCAGCTTTGAACCTGAATGTCTGGGATTACAGGCATGTGATATCATACCCAGCATTTAATGTGTTTTCATCATTCAGGTGTCAACTCAGAAGCCACTCTCTTTTAATACTTACGTTTCTTTCTGAAGCATGATTAGATACTTATACATGTATGTTTCTACTATACCTATCATGTAACTTTTGTTATTTTCTTACTGCAATACTTACATCATTTGTCTCTCTATCCCCTAATGGAACAATAACCTCTTGATTGGCAGGAACATGTCCTTATACAGTAACTGGTATTTGGTAGATAATAAATATTTGTGGCATAAAAGAGTCATAGAATTTAATAGAGATCTGGTTTACTTCAAAATACTGAACCAGCTTCCTTTCTTGTAGAAGCAAGGAGAATTGGAGGAAGAAGATGAGAATCTTCCCATACAAGAAGTATCTTTTGACCCAGAGAAAGCCCAGTGTTGCATAGTGGAAAATGGACAGATTTTAACTCATGGCAGTGGAGGAAAAGGATATGGCTTGGCATCAACTGGAGTAACTTCTGGATGCTATCAGTGGAAGGTACATAGAATTTTAAGCATTTGTTAGCGTTTTGTATTTTTGGTCCCTTTTCCCCAAGATGTTAAAAAGAAAAAAAAAATATGTGGAAGGACTTTCAAATCATTTTGTAAACGATGTTCTATCAATATGTAAGGTGTTATCATAAATGGAAACCAAAAGTGGTTGGATTTATCATTTTGAAATTTTTTAGGTTACTTACCTTTCACAACAAATTAGTACCTCATCTGCTGTTTCATACAGTGTGTCCATAGCCACCCAGGCACTAGAATTTGTTTTTTTCCACTTCTTCTCTTTATTTTTCCCAAATAATGCTCTAACTCTATTATTTTGAGGGTTGTTCTAGTAATCTCACTGCTACCACTGTGTCAAAGGTCCCCAAGACCACCCTCATATTTAGACATTCACTAGGAGAATTCATAAGATTTAGCATATAGTTGTTCTCATAATTGAGATTTAATATACTGATGTAGTAAGGATATGTAACCTTATGATAAGGGAAGAAAAAGATAGGTACTGTATGGAAGAATCATGTGCTGGCTTTTTTATGTTCTGTCCCTCCGTCAGCAACAAAAATGCAGCAAGCAACATGTATGTGTTGTTTCAAAGGAATCCTCATTAGAGACTCAGAGCCCAAGGTTTTTCTGAGGATTGGTTATATTTGTCATATTTTACCTGATGTACCAAAATTCTAGACTCCGAAAAGGAAAGTTGGTGTTCAGTGTAAACCACATTGTTTTTTTTCAAATGCTGTAGGCCCATGAGCAACCTTTTCATTTAAAAAAGTTTTGTGTCAGTGTAGGAAACTATTTACAGTTGATTTCACAGATACTAGCCAAGGATTGCTATTGCAGTCAGGCCTTTTTATTTTTTCTTTTTTTCTTTTTATTTATACAGAATAGTAGAATGTATTTTGGCAGGATATACATACATAAAGTATAACTTATAATATTAGGTTCCCACTCTTGTGGTCATACATGATGTGGAGTTACACTGGGTAGTGTATACAAATATGAGACTAGGAAAGTTATGACCAATTAATTCTGTCTTTCCTATTCCCCTCTCTCATTCCCTTCATTTTATTACCCTTTGTGTAGTCTAATCTATTTCTATTATTCCCCTCCCCAACTTCCCTTGTTTTGGGTTAGCATCACAAATCAGAATGAACATTTGGCCTTTTTGCAGGGGGAGGGGGGGATTAGTTTATTTCACTTAGCATGATATTCTCTAGTTCCATCCATTTAATGGCAAATGCCATAATTTCATTTTTCTTTATGGCTGAGTAATATTCCATTGTGTATATATACCATATTTTCTTTATCCATTCATCTGTTGAAGGACACAGAAATAATTCCAAACATTCTACAAGGTGAAAAATGAATTTCCTGGACATCATTACGCTAAGTACATGTATGAATGCACGAATAGTGTGACTCTACTTCATGCAAACAGAGAAGTGAAAAATTCTGCTCCATTTGTGTAAAATGAATTGAATAGCTTTCTACTCTGACATATAACTGATTAGAATTATTAAATAAATTTTAAAAAATAAAATAAATATTGTGAGGACCTCAAAGAGCTTTTATTTACATGAGTTATATTTATCAATAATTATAATGTTAAAATTAAAATAGAAAAATCTTAAAACAGTTGCTGAAAATGATAATAGTATATGTTTACTGACATTAATTTTTTGTAAAAATTAGAATAAAATTTTATTCTAGAATAAAAATTTAAATGAGGATAAAAGAATTTCCTTTAAAATCTTTATAAACTGATGAATTTATTTCATTTTCAAGTTATTTCTACTTAGGTGGAAAAGAAAGAATAAAATTCTCATAGTGCAAAAATATTGTTTATAAACATAATCTTTTGGTTTTGGTTTATGCAGTTAATAGCATACAAACAGATTTTTTTTTTAGTACTAATGAGTATTATAACATTTATTTTAGTTTTACATTGTGAAGGAAAACAGAGGTAATGAAGGCACATGTGTCGGAGTTTCTCGTTGGCCAGTACATGACTTTAACCACCGTACCACCTCAGATATGTGGCTTTATAGGGCCTACAGTGGTAACCTCTACCACAATGGAGAACAAACACTGACGTTGTCCAGCTTTACTCAAGGAGATTTCATTACCTGTGTATTAGACATGGAAGCCAGGACTATTTCCTTTGGGAAAAATGGAGAGGTACTGAAACCTACTCATAAACTTTTTTTCCTTCAAATTTACAGTTAATTATTCAAGTGCTAATTATCTAGTGTATAGATTATCTACCTTCTTCTTCCTTGTCTTTAATACTTTCTCTTTTTATACTTACAAGCACCAAACTAACAATAGAAATGTGTTAAATCCCAGTAAGATTTTTGAAACAAATTAATAAATTAGAATAATTTATTATATGTGGAATTTCCTTGGTAGTTGCAATTTGGCTATAGTAACTTTTGTTTTGGCTCCTAAGGCTTTGTATTTTAATGTGGTTATATGTTATCAATTTAAAAATATTTTTGTTTCCTTGTTCTTTCCCTCACTTCTGTCACACTCTAGGAACCTAAATTAGCTTTTGAAGATGTGGATGCAGCAGAGTTGTACCCATGTGTAATGTTCTATAGTAGCAACCCAGGTGAAAAGGTAATGAAGCCTCAAAACCTTTATATTTAAGCATAAAGGTTATTTGCTTTCTTTTTTTATTAAATTTCTTAGCATCAGGTAGAGTTTATAAGTATAAATAAGCTATTTATACTATTAAGAGTACTGACCCATATAATTCATTCTTATAGAATGAGGTTAAATACTTTTAGAAATTATCTTTACAGTAAGACACAATTTAATATTCTGGTTAGTTGGATACAGTGAATCAAATTTTTAAATTTATGTGCAACTATGGTAATTATAGGAACTAAATTAGGGATAATGTGGCTCATTGGCAATTATGGACATGAGAGAAATCTAGAAATAATCTTAAATGTGATAGGATGCCACTAGCTGAGTAATAGAAATTCCAGTTATAATAGAGAGCTACCTTTTATTAATTCACCTGGGGGAGCTCTCAGATGTTATGGATAGTATAAATTTGAAACTTTTGAGAAAAAAATTAAAAGGGATCCCTTCTGACTGAAACCTTTTTATTCTCCTCATCTCAAATCTAGACAGAGATCAACCTTTCTTTGGTCTCCCTGTACTGATAGACAAAAATTTTTTTTTCTTGCTCCATCCTTTACTGTAGGATGGAGTGTGACTTAGGTTTGTTCTCAAGAATTTTTAGTTATTTTATAGTAATAAGTTTACAAATTAGGTAAATTGGAGTACCCTAACCGTGAAAGTTACTTTTTATTCTATGCTTTAAAGTATATTTTAAAAATAATTTACATTTAAAAAATTAAATTTCCATGAGTTATGATTTAAAGCTAGCTCTTCACAAGACAAGGGAACTACTTCTAGAACGGGTAGGCAATAAAAATTGAACTGGAGATGAAGTAAACAGGCCTCCTAGTACCTGATATTATTCCTTGTCCTGATTATATTATTATATCCCAAAATAGGTTCTGGCATGTTCTGCTGAGAATTATGGTCATGGTGCTTTCCAGTAGCAAGGAACCTTGAAAAAAATTATACAACCTTAGATTAGGTAACAATCAAGTTATTCTATCTGGAAGGTTTTTTGTGATAAACTTCAGAATCTCTGAGAAAAACAATACTAATAATAGTTAACCTTTTTTTAAAAACATTTATAGTGTACCTGGCACTGTACTGATAAGCACTTTATGTGCATAGTTTCATTTAATTTATTTATTTATATATTGTGGTACTGGGGATTGAATCCAGGGATAGCTGGCCTCAGCCTCCTGAGTCACTGGGATTATAGGCATGTACTTCCATGGCCAGCTCATATTATTTTTAAAATAGTGTAAGAGGCCAGTACTATTATTTGTGCCATTTTTTTCAGATGTAAAACTGAGGCTTAAAGAGATTAAATAATTTCCCAAGATTATGTAGAATTAAGATGTTAATTGAAGTCTCACTCCTCTCTTCCAGTTTGCAGTGTATGTCCAGATTGGAACTATCCCAGTTGTATAGATTTAAAATTTTATCTTTGTTCTCCTTGAACAATATAAAAGATAGTTCTAGGACACATTATTATTCTGGAGTCTTGATAATGAGAACTGGTGTATACTCCAGACTTTTGTGAACTAAATTAATTCAATTACATATATCCATCTTCTGAGTGGTCCTACCAGGTCTGTAATTCACAGGCTACAAGAGGTTTAAATGACAGGCAGCTTATTACAGAGTACCATACTGCTAGTAACTTCAGTAGGTCCGCAACATTTCGTCTTTGTTGTGAGCCAGTTGGTATATTACATGTGTAGTAGGTGATCAAACAGTAGTTCCACATGGAATTCCATGTGCTAGAATTTATAGTTACTAACAGTTAAGGAAACCTATTGATATCACATATGTTCCACCCTCTTTTCTTTTATATAGGTGAAAATTTGTGATATGCAGATGCGAGGCACACCACGGGACTTACTTCCAGGAGACCCCATTTGTAGTCCAGTAGCAGCAGTGCTAGCTGAGGCCACTATTCAACTTATCCGTATCCTTCACCGAACAGACCGTTGGACTTACTGCATTAACAAAAAAATGATGGAAAGGCTACATAAAATTAAGATATGTATTAAAGAGTCAGGTCAGAAGCTAAAGAAAAGCCGCTCGGTTCAGAGCCGAGAGGAAAATGAAATGAGAGAGGAGAAGGAGAACAAAGAGGAAGAGAAAGGTAAACATAATAGACATGGCCTTGCTGACCTCTCAGAGCCACAGCTGAGGACTCTTTGCATAGAGGTGTGGCCAGTTCTGGCAGTGATAGGAGGAGTTGATGCTGGTCTTAGAGTTGGAGGTCGGTGTGTTCACAAGCAAACTGGGCGCCATGCCACGCTGCTGGGAGTGGTCAAAGAGGGTAGCACGTCTGCCAAGGTCCAATGGGATGAAGCAGAAATTACCATCAGGTATGATCTGTTGAGTTAACACTTTTAGCAAATGAATATTTAATAATGAAACGGGACTTTTCCCATGGACAGTAAGTATAAGCACTGTATTTTAGATGAATTGCTGGTTGAGTTTTTAAAAATATTTTTTCCATACAGCTAACTATTGGTACTATGATTTTATAAAGGAAAAAAATTTCCAAACCCATGTTCTTTGAAATACTAGTGATTCATCAAATATTTTTGCTGGGCACTGTGGTGCATGCCTATAATACCAGTGACTTGAGAGATTGAGACAGGAGGATGGCAAGTATGAGGCCAGCATCAGCAATTTAGCAAGACTTTGTTTTAAAATAAAAGAGGGTTTAGCTAAGTGGTAGAGTACCCTTAGGTTAAATCCTCAGGAATAATAATAATAATAATAATAATAATAATAATAATAAGAAGAAGAAGAAGAAGAAGAAGAAGAAGTAGTAGCATAGTTTTTTGTTTTATTCTTTTTTTTTTTTGGTGAAGAAATGGTAATATCCCTAGTTAGGTTTAATTGGAATCCTTCTTTCTGTTTTTCATATGGTTTCCTGCCTTTTTTGGTGACAGATGGAGTACTGGAAATCAAACCTGGGTCTTTTGCTTGCTAGGCAAACACTGTACAACTGAACTACATCTCCAGTCCAGTTTCCTGCTTTTTAGTCATTTCTACTATACTGGGATAGTAAAAAGCAAGCCAGCTGATCTGTTGATTTCATTTTGATAGAAGGGCTTTGAGTATAGCATGGGAACATTTGAATGACTAGAATTACATTTTGGATTATCTTTGATATTCTTGTTCTTCCCCTGCTTTTTTAAGCACCCATATTTCTATTCCCTCAATGTGCAGCATTTAAAAAAATTTTTTCTTTAAGTTGTAGATGGACACAATACCTTTATTTTATTTATTTTTATGTGGTGCTGAGGATTGAACCCAGTACCCCACAGTGCTAGGGCTGTATCACTGAACCCCAGCCTGAGCCCCAGATTTTTAATAGATATAATCATTCCATTTATTTGATACAGCAGAGTACTTAAAAGCACTTATGTGTCTGCATTCAGTTAGAATTAGAAACTTCATTTATTAAAGAAGAAAAATGTCAAGTATCACTATCCAAAAAACTGACTTATTACTCTACATCGTTGTATTAGTTGAAAATATGGATTTTGGTTGACATTATGTAGTTATTCATTATATTGCCTAATGTGATTCCTATGAAGTTATACGTTAATATGACATAGAACAATATCTGAAACAGTGGTGCTTAGCGTTTATTGGAAATATCATGGTTTTAAAATCAAGTGAATGCTATGGACCCACTTAGTTGAAAAATATACATACATAAATTTTACACACAATTTCAAGGGTTAATATCTACTTCTCTAATCTAAGAAAAACCAATGATGGTTTTACAAAGTTACATGAAAGTGTTTACCTTTTATATTCTTTGCCTTGTTTCAGAAAGGATTTATGTTACCTTACTAATATGCATACAGTATAGTAAAATAAGTAAATTAGTAAATGAAAACCAGTAAGAAAAATGAGGCAGAGGGAAAACAGGATTAGGAAAACAAGACAGAATCACAATTTAGATTAGTACAACAAAACCTTATATGTTTGTTAAAGTTTGTATTATTTTATGTTTATAGCATTCATAAACTTCAGGAATTTCTTGCCAAATGTTAGGAAATATATAATCATAATTTTGCTTAAATTATAAATTAGAAACATTAATTGAAGACTATAAAGTAAATTTCTTAGTGAAACAAAGTCTTCTATGAAGACTTTGAAAGAGCTATTACCCACAGAATAAACTAGATTTATTATACAGACTTTCCAGATAGCTTACATCAAACTACAGCTGGCTCCCTGCTATTTTTGGAAGTAAATTTACACAGCCACTCTCCTTTCTTTAGTATATCAGTGGCTGCTTTTGTATTATAATGGCACAGTTGAATACTGGCAACTGAGACCATGTACTCTGCAAGGTCTAAAATATTTACTATCTGTCCCTTTATGAGAAGTTTGCAGTTCCTGGGTTATATTATATAATAAAGTCTATTCTCATTTGAAAGCACATGAACATCTCAGTGCTTTTGCATGTAGCATCACAACTCTCCATTTTCTCATAATAGACTTATTTTTCTCTCTGTAATGATGTCTTTAGTTTGTGTAAAGTATTCTTTGTATTGTGTACATAATACATCTTGTTTTGCCTACATTATTTTCTGTACCTTCCTCCTGTCTTTCCCTCACTTGCTTTTTCCTGTGTCATTCTGATCTTTATTAAAGCTTCCCAACTTTTTGGTCGCCTAGTGATACTCCATTGTATAATCTGGAGCCCTGTGAACCACTGCCGTTTGATGTGGCACGATTCCGAGGCCTGACAGCTTCTGTGCTGCTGGACCTAACATATCTAACAGGCATTCATGAAGATATGGGGAAACAGAGCACCAAGCGTCATGAAAAGAAACACCGACATGAGTCTGAAGAGAAAGGGGACGTTGATCAGAAACCTGAGAGTGAATCTACTTTAGATGTGCGAACAGGATTAACAGCTGATGATGTCAAAAGTCAGGGTACCACAAGCTCCAAATCAGAAAATGAAATAGTTTCATTTTCTTTAGATCAAACATTGCCAGGAGTGGAATCCCAACATCAAATAACAGAAGGAAAAAGAAAAAATCACGAACATGTGTCCAAAAACCATGACATAGCCCAATCAGAAATCAGAGCAGTACAGCTGTCCTATCTTTACCTTGGTGCTATGAAATCACTTAGTGCTCTTCTTGGCTGTAGTAAATATGCTGAGCTGTTGTTGATACCAAAAGTCCTGGCTGAAAATGGCCACAACTCAGACTGTGCAAGCTCACCAGTTGTTCATGAAGATGTGGAAATGCGTGCAGCCCTACAGTTTTTGATGCGACACATGGTGAAGCGAGCAGTCATGCGGTCACCCATAAAGAGAGCATTAGGATTAGCTGATCTGGAACGAGCTCAAGCCATGATTTACAAACTAGTGGTCCATGGGCTTTTGGAAGACCAGTTTGGGGGCAAAATCAAACAAGGTAAGTTATCTGACTTTTAAAAAAAGATTTGTTCCATTGAAATTACTTATAACTGTTGATATATTATGTGATTTTTAAGAACATCTTTTTTTTTGGGGGGGGGGCAAAAAAGTATCACATCATTTTTCCTTTGTAAGGTAACCAATCCTTTTTTTGTTAATTTTTTTATTAATAATCATTAGCCTATACATAAATTTCTGTTTTAAACCTTCCTAAGCATTATAATTATTAGGAAATTTTATAAAACAAATTTAATTCATATAAAAGGTATAAAAGGTACCCAAGTATTTATTGATCTGATTCAAAATATATAATATTCTACTAACTTTGCAGAGATATTTTAATTAATTAATTAATTAATTAATTTTAATTAGGTATATATGACAGCAGAATGCATTTTGATTCATTGTACACAATTGCAGCACAACTTCTCATGTCTTGTACCATATGTGCAATCCTACATGAGGTCTAACTCATTCCACCATCTTTCCTGCCCCCATATTCCCTTTTCATCTATCCTTCCCCTTTGCCCAATCAAAGTTTCTCCATTTTTCCCATGCCCCCCCATTATGGATCAGTATCCACTTATCAGAGTGAACATTCAGCCTTTGTTTTTTGGGGATTGGCTTACTTTGCTTAGCATGATATTCTCCAACTCCATCCATTTACCTACAAATGCCATAATTTTATTCTCTTTTAATGCTGAGTAATCCATTGTGTGTATATATCCACAGTTGCTTTATCCTTTCATCTATTGAAGGATATCTAGGTCGGCTCCACAGTTTAGCTATTGTGAATTGAGCTGCTGTAAACATTGATGTGGCTGTGTTACTATAGTATGCTGATTTAAGTCCTTTGGGTATATACCCAGTGGGGTATCTGGATCAACTGGTGGTTCCATTCCAAGTTTTCTAAGGAAAACTGCTTTCCAGATTGGTTGCACCAATTTGCAGTCCCACCAGCAATGTATGAATGTGTCTTTTCCCCTCACATCCAATTGTTGTCTGTGTTCTTGTTTGCTAGGTATTTCTTATTCTTGTGTCTATATGGTTTATCTTTGCCTGTAAAGACTGAAGATAGGTATCAAAATCAAAGTCCTAAGGAAACACGGTTTTAATGATTGGTTATCTTTAGAGAATCTCTTATTAAATCCTAAAAATGAAAGTGAGACTTTCCTCTGTTTTTTTTGAGAGAACCCTCTTCTCTAAAAACAGAACTGGATAATTGCAACACCTCTTTTCTGAAAACAGATAATTGCCATTCTGACTGGTGTCTCAGAGCTATTTTTAAAGAGCACTTTAAAGCCCACAACTTTTATAGACCAATATATTATATGTAAAAACAAAACAAAACAAAACAAAAACCTTTGTTTTATCTTTTATTCTCCCCTTTGGGAACTATAAATTTTGAAATAAAAATTGAGTTTAATTTAGGAAATGTTTATTTTATTTTTTTATTGGTTGTTCAAAACATTACAAAGTTCATGACATATCATCTTTCATACATTTGATTCAAGTGAGTTATGAACTCCCATTTTTACCCCAAATACAAATTGCAGAATCACATCAGTTACACATTCACATTTTTACATAATGCCATATTAGTGACTGTTGTATTCTGCTGCCTTTCCTATCCCCTACTATCCCCCTCCCCTCCCCTCCCATCTTCCCTCTCTACCTAATCTGTTGTTGTTCAGTTCTCTCCCTTGTTTTTTCCCTCCCCATTCCCCTCACAACCTCTTATATGTGATTTCATATAACGTTGAGAGTTTCCTTCAGTTTCCATGCAATTTCCCTTCTCTCTCCCTTTCCCTCCCACCACTCGCCTCTGTTTTATGTTAATCTTTTCCTCATGCTCTTCCTCCCTGCTCAGTTCTTAGTTGCTCTCCTTAAATCAAAGAAGACATTTGGCATTTATTTTTTAAGGATTGACTAGCTTCACTTAGCATAA